TACGTGTTATATTAACAAGCTTAGCTGACAACATGATATCCTTATCTCTTTTTCCTTCACTTAATTTCTCAAGGTTATTTGTTCTTTCTGTGAAGTGTACATATAAAATGTTATCTATATTCTTCTAATAATTACATACTTCTATATCCTAGTTTAATGTAAATATTTATGCAAGATTTTGTGGTTAAAGTCAGACAACAAGAAATAATTCAAGTGTATGATATTGTCGAGTTCATTTCTACATAACAAATATATATATATATATTTTAATTGCAAACACATTTCAATTTATGCTGTTGTCAAATTTTGATTTTCTCACCTGAACGCACCTGGACGCAATTAGCTTTGAGATATTCTAAAGTTGCAATGGGAATAGACATATAGTAAAACCAACACACACACTTAGATCACAGCGAGCTGTGAACGAGTTGTTATTGTTTTGGCATAATTAGAATAGACACAATGTCGAGACATTAGCGACAATTCAGCGCGCCAAGAATTATGAACTTGATTACTGAATACAAATTGTTTGATATTAACGACTGTAAACAAAGTAAGTTTATTTGCATAGCATATCTTAGCCGAAAAGTCGAATTCACAATAAAGTGCCAAATTTTCTGTTTCAAGTCGCTGCCAAAGTAATAATGTCGAGCGACCGAGCGCAACAAGGAAACTGAATTAACTAAGAAGTAAACAGCAACAGGTCGCCCAGCATCCGGCGTCAAGCGCATGTGCAGAGTGGCAGAGTGCTACCAATAATTATAGTAAAAATATTTAAAAAATTTAAACAATAAACATAAACTAAAGTCAAGTTGCTTAATTAAATATTTTTACATTTGTTGTTAAGTGTCAAAAGTACAAACATATTCAAATTATGCACATTTGGCGCCTAAAAACAAATGCACAACATTGCCAGATCCACAAAAAAGAGCTAGCCAACAGCAAGTAAGTGGCAACGCCCTGTGCACGCGCACACAATAACGCACGCGTTACGCGTTACATAAGCGCGCATTCAAATAAATTCATAAAACAAGTAAGCTTTGAAAATTAATTTATTGTGCTTATAACTCGACAATCGCTTTTTGAAATATATTCATAATCTAATAAAAGAAAATAATATCCAGAATATTCATAAGTAATTCCGCATAATGTCGCAGAGTTTTATGTTCAATATCGAAAGCGGCTACTTGGAAGGCCTGGTGCGCGGCTTTAAGAACGGTCTATTGAAGCAATCCGATTATCTTAATCTAACACAATGCGAAACGCTGCATGATCTTCTGCTGAATATACAAAACACGGACTATGGTCACATATTGACCAGCGAAACCGAAGTGGCAAATGTGGAACTGATTGAGAAGCGTATGCGGGAGAGAATTGTAGTTGAGTACAATTATATGCGTGTCAATTCCACAGAACCGTTAAGCACATTTCTGGACTATATACGATATGAGCATATGATTGATAATATTGCGCTGCTGATGGCGGGCCTAAGCAATCGTCGGTCCATGAAAAAACTGCTGCCCTTGTGCCATCCGTTGGGTCTGTTCGATCAATTGGAGGCCATCGAAGTGGCCAGCAACATTGATGAGCTATTCAATAGCGTGTTAATCGATACGCCGATATCGAAATTCGTTTCGGAGCACTTTGATAAGATGGCAATACATAATACCGATGTGGAAATCCAGCGCAGCATCATATACAAGTCCTATCTGGAGGACTTTTATAAATTCTGCAAGAAATTGGGCGGCACCACGGCTGAAGTTATGTGCAATATGTTGAGCTTCCAGGCGGATCGTCGCACCATTGTGATTGCAGTGAACTCTCTATACACGGACATGCAACCCAAGATTCGGGAAAGTCTATTCCCCACCTGCGGCAAGCTCTGTCCAATTGTGAGGAGACTATTGGCCTCCAGTACCGACTTCGAGCAAGTGCGTGTAACCGTCAGCAAGTCCATGACCTATGCCGGCGTGTTCAACAACATTGAGAGAGATACCGACAATCTGATCACCTTGGATGATCGTTTCCTGATGCTGGAGGCCAAGATGCATGTCAACTCGTTTTTGCAGCAATTCCACTATGGCATTTTCTACTCCTACCTCAAGTTGAAGGAGCTCGAGTGCCGCAACATCGTTTGGATTGCCGAGTGCATTTCGCAGCGACAAAATGACAAGATCAATGCCTATATACCCATACCGATTTACTAAGGATTGTCGATAAAAATGTTCTCTTAATCACCAAATAAACAAATTGTGTTCAATATATTATTATTATTTTTATGTGTATTTGGATACAGTTATATTTGACCAGGATTGAATTTAATAGAAATTGTAAAAAAGAAACCAAGAAGATTGAAGATTGTTGTCCTTCAAAAGCATAGAAGACGTTTTATATAAATACTTTATTCCCGACCGATATTGTTATATCAAGTAAACAGGTAAGATTGTTAAAGATATGTTGGATATAATAGATAGATTAGTTAATCATTTTTCGACCTATTCTTCCTGTAGAGCTATATTATAGAGTAGTACGATTTAGCATATATCTAAGACGCATAGTGAAACTTAAAAAATGCCGAGTTTGATAAACAAAAAAGTTTCTCGTACAAAAACTTTATTATTTGTCTATGATATATATATATACGATATAGGATATGATGATAAATTTTCCGATTTTTCACAAAACGACGTATCTACGAAGAGTTTTATGACATTAGCTTAACAACTAAGAGATAATAATGCCTAGAAGTCATATCGTCTCAGCATATATACTATACTAGGCGATAACCCGTGCATAGGTCAGAAAGGTCTTATATATATAGCATATATTCTTAATAATATGTGGAAATTAAGCGGGTATTGCCCGGCCTTGCCCGTGGAACGTTTTGTGCTAAACATTTTAGATACTACCTTTGCATTTAGTACATGCCCGTGGAAAATTGAAAACTACCCATCTTGATTTCCACTTCTATTTGGAGTGAGAATCTTGAATGAATCTTATCAAATCTTATTAAATAAATTCTTGGATCGGATCGGAAAATGCTTTCATGTAACCGTTATTGGCTATTTACGTTATTCTCTACTTATGTAGCTGGAATTTCCTCAATCGTTCATATACGTATTCATTAAGTTCTTATATAGAGACAAAACTTGAAACTTGAATCTTTGAATCGCATTTTCCACCGAGGCAGCTTGGATTCAGCGAAGAGTGTGAAACACGTCTCAAATGATTTTTCGTATAGATCTTTGCAAATAAATTTTAACACGTAACGTCACCCATTAAACCTTTAACCCCCATTTCCACGAAGGATGAATGCATTTTTCGAAAAGCGTGAAACTTCCCTCAATGAATTTGAACAAAGATCTTTGAAAATGACTTTGAGGCGGATCGGATAATGAACAAAAAAGGTTTCATATAATCATTTTTCATGATTTTTCCACAAATGCGGATGGAATTCCCCACATAAGTTAAACATAACATAAACTGTTTTCTATATAAAGATTATATACCCTCAATAGTTTGTGGGTTCGAAATTTTGTGTGCATGTCAAACTTCTTGCTAAACTTATGAAACCCTATGCCTGGGCAGAAAGTATCTCCGAAAGGTGCAAAAATATTTTAATCAACTAATCAACAAGTTGAAATTCCCACATAATCTAACCGAAGTACTTTAAACAATCGCCGGGCGTAAGTTCATAATTATCTGAATTGGCAAATATATTTGAAATATCAATATAGTTCAGTTTGAGATAGCGCCTAGTATTGAAATACATAAGGGCGCTCTTTTTTTTCGACTTGTTTTTTATTGGTCAATTTCCCAAACCCACGAAAGCCTAGCGACAAAATCAGCTGAGTCGCGAAACATACGGCGGCGGGCATTTCAGCAGCAGGTTCTGAGTTTTCTTTATTTTTTCGCAAAACTCAGTTTCAATTCGTGATTCTAGCTCGCTAGTTGTGCCAAGATATAACAACGTAACCGAATGAATCATCTTCGTTTGTTGTCGTGAATGTTTAAATATACATACATACATACATACGTACATACAAACATATGTACGTACATACATAGATGAATGTATATTCTTTTTTTTGCTTTCTTTCATTTTTCCACTTCGTCTCTGCCGTAGTCTGCGTGTGTGTGTGTGTGTTCAACTTTTTTTATCAACACAAACTATTTATTTGAAGCTCAATATAATATAGCGGTAATAAGTCTGTAAATGATACTTGTACATGTATGTACATACATATGTACATATACAAAAATACAGATAAAATTTCGCTTTAGCCAGAAAACTGTGTAAATGCAAAAGCAACGCTTTTCCGCATTTTTCCGCGAGTTCAAATTTCCTGTTCTTGCTGCTGAGCGCATCACCCTGACCCGAACCGTCCCGCCCCCCCCTCCACCCTCCCTCTTTCTTCTGTTCCGGATGCTAGAGCATTCTTTTGGGTTACTTTACTCTCAATACTTGTAAATCTCGTTTGCCGTTTCGCTACAACCTGAAATTGGCCAACGCAAATTGTCAATTGAATTCTGGGAATTACAATATTAAAAAATTACGAAACTCCTACAAAAAAAAAAAAAGAAGGAAATTATCAGGCATGTGCATAAACCAATTTGAAATGTTAAATTTATTTAACGCACAAATTGAATTTGTGCTTTTATGAAAATCATCTGCATGGTTTGGTTTCCCACTATTTACGACAGAATTCCAACAGATATGCGCTGCCGTTCCCAGTCAAACTCACAATCTCAATACAACAACTAGCAAACCTTTCCATAACCATTATTTGTGCCATTCCGAAATATAACGACGAGGTATTGTTTTATATAGATATACATATGTGCAAAGGTATTTGTGCACATGCACGAACGAACGGCTTATACATATATGTACACACATATGTATGTATTGATGTATGTATGTACGCTTAGCGAGTATATAGTTTGTTTTTGTAGGCTTTCGTTGCTTTTGAATTTTTGAGTTTCGCAGTATTGAAATCGTGGTGGTGGTTGTTGGTTGAAATTCTGTTCTGCTTCCTCTTCATATTGCTGAGAGTGAGCGGGCTCTCTTGCTCTCGCTCTCGTCGTGTGCGTGTAAGTGTGCGTGCATGTGTGTGTTTGTGTGTGTTTTGTTGTTCGGCAAGGTGTTTGCGTTGCTGAGTTGAAAAATAGTTAAGTTATATGATTATTAAAAAACCGTGAGCGCAGCTAATTTCAAACTCTGAATATTTACACAACGATTCAGCTGATTGGAATTGCTATTGTCAGTTATTATATGCATATATTTTATGTGTTATACGAACCTGCAGCATTTGGTTTGTTTAATGTAATTAACGTTTTTCTTATTCTCTTTTCTTGAAAAATTCTCAACATAATAAGCGTAAATTTGTGCCACGCGTGTGTGTGTGTGTGTGTGTGTTTGTGAGACAACGCAGCGCTCCCTTGATTTTCGTGCGCTAGTTGCGCTCTCGCGTTTCATATCTTTTCCACATTACAGTGGGGCATGGGAAATTTGAGTTAAATAAGTAAATACTCTTATTGTGCATAAATACAATTAATTTTTCAACTAAGTAAATCTGTTAGTTTTGAAATCATAGTCAATCGATTTTGATTTAAGCTAGTGTTGAATAATTTTTGAATACAGGTTTTTTCAACCGGCTTTCAATTAGTTTGTGCCCACTGTAGCCTCTCAATCTTTAGTGCGAGTTTTGGACAGCTGGAAAATTACTCAGCTTAAGTGTACAAAATGTGATTTGAGTTTCGAATTCAGATATTGTGTTCTCCCAGCTCAACACCCCATCCGTTGAAATCCATACATTCAACACTTTTAATTGAATAAAAACTTAAAGACGTTTTTTTCCATGCATTGTGTTTCAGTTTCAGCTTCTTCGAATATCATTACGCATCTGTCGGGAACTCAAGTCTCAATTTTTTTTCCTTATATATATGTGTATGTATGTATGTATTTATGTTTGCATGTGTGCACATAAATACGCAGTTACAAACATAATAACACTTCATTTCGAAAAAAAAAAGTGACGAAATCTTTGTACCCCAAGTGCTCCACTGGCTCGTAATCGTATTTGGCATGTTTATTAACATTTTAAAATCGTTTACTCACTATCTCTAAATTTAGTTTATGTGTTTGTGTGTGCGTGTGCATTTGAGAGCTTAATATTGTGTTTGTGTGTGTGTGCACGTTTATTCTTTTACCTTCCCTTTGTCGTTTATATTTCGTATTGAAATTTGTAATCAAAATCGATAAAAAATATATATATTTATTTGCCTATTTAGATTTCTTTGTATTTGTAAACTGAGAACGTATCGCATTTGTATTTATATATATACATATGTACCTATTATGGGTTTCGAAGTGTTGTTCTCATTTGTCAGATATGGGTTTCGAGTAGGAAAAAACGAAAAGTAAATACGAAACAGCAGGGTGAATTGACAGCTCGGCTCGATACAATATTTTATTATTCAATATTTGTTTAAGTGGTTTGAAAATCTGGTTAAGTAAGTTTTTCTGAATATTCGAAGCAGCTGCGATTTTTAATTGTATTATTGAAAGTTCAACCAAAACTAATTATTTAAAAAAAAATACATTTTTTATGTGAAAATCCGGTTTTTGAGTTTTGAGTTTTTAGCTTTTTAAGTTTGGGGACACAGCACAACTAATTTTTCTGCTGGTTCAACTCTTTTTTTTTTTGTGTTTTTAGATTTTTACCCAAGTACCTAAGACCAATAAATAAAAAAAAAGCCAGATCGATGTTGATGCCGCGGTATTCCGAGCAGGACAGCCATAGCGATAATAGTTTTGCTGGTAAGCACGGCCACGCCTCCACCACGGTGGCCGCCCACACGAAAATGCGTTTGCTTAGCAAGGTGGAGCAAAACATGCGCCAGAATCAACAGAATAATCCGAATCAGAATTCTGGCCAAAATCAAAGCATCAACAAGCTAATCCACACCGCCGCCACGGGCAACGGTCTGGTAGGCGATGTGGACGAGCTATTGACGCCCATGCGCATTAAGGCTCAGGCGCCGCAAGCCATGGCAGCTGGCATAGCCAATGGGAGTGGCAGTGGCTGCAGCAGCGCCGGCGAAAGCGGTGGCAAGGAGACGCATTCACGACCAGAGCGCAACCTGTGGAGCCGCGCCGAGATGCTCGAGATGCTGAATATAATGCAAGAGATGAACGCCCTGGAACAGCTGAACGATCGTAACGTGAAGAGCGAGCACGTTTTCCGCCAGATCGAAGAGGTGATGCGCAGCAAGGGCTATGTGAAAAAGTCCAGCATACAGATCTGGACCAAGTGGAAGTTCCTCAAGTCCACATACAACACGACAACGCGGCACGGCAATGGCATACCGAAAGTGGTGCCGGAGGAGGTTTACCGCGTGCTCTGCCGCATGCTGCGCGAGCATGCGAGTGTCTGTGGCAGTATCAGTGGCATAAGCAGTGAATGCGGCAACTCCAGGGATAGCTACAATGCAGAGCTTGGTAGGATATTGCCCAATAATGATGATGGCGGCAAAGAGGAGCTGGGCGTGGAGCATCCCATATTTGGTTTTCGCTTGGGACTGGTCAAGCCGGAGCCGCTGGATACGGGTGAGTGCATCTATTAAAAAGTCTATTAAGAGAATATATAATCATATATGTGTATATCATGTTGCGACTCTCTCACAGGCTACGAGACGACGGTAAACCATGCCAACTCAAGCGAGCAGGAGTTGGAATCCGTGAACTTTGTACAAATGGATGACCAGACGCAGTCATTGGAGCACACGCCTTTCATGATGAATGTGAAGCACGAACCTGAAATGGATTTGGGCATGGATAGCACCAATACGCCACCGCCTACGGCGCCAACTTCGCCCTCGCCGCCGCCAACTAGCCAGGAACAGCGAGATCTGGGTGATAAGTCACCATTATATCCAACCAAGTCACAGTCGGTATCAATGCCGCCGCTACGCGTTGCCGCCTTTGCAAATGATGCACAGCGTCAGGCCACGTCGACGCCTACGCATGGCATTCTCCAAATCGAACGACCTGTAGCTCCACTCGGCAAATCCATTCAAAATGGTGGTCCTGGTCGGGGCAATCGCACCATGCCGCTGCACAGCACTAGCAGCATTAATTTCGTGCATCCCACCAGCAAATTGATGCTGCCCCGCAAGCAGCTGCCAATGCGCATTCCCCGGGAGATAAGTGTGCAGCCAGCGAATACGCGACCGCTTAAGCCTGTGCCTATGCGCGAGACGGGCTATTCGTTGCGTCCGGATCGCATGATACCCGATCTGGAGCAGTCTATATCGCCGCCACAATCGCCTTCGCCGCCTATGCACAGCCAGCTAGTACCGAAATATAACAATCCATATGCCTCAACCAGCCGACAGGCGCAGCTGCTTAGCGAACAGCAACAGCAACAGCCACTGCGCAAGCGACGTCTGCAATTTCCTCAACAAACAACGCCTGTGCCCGTCAAGCTTCAGCGAAGCTCCACGATCTTTGAGAACAACAAGCAGCATGGCAGTTTTCAGAGTGAAGATGAGTCCGCGGCGGAGGAACACAAAACCAAACTGCTCGCCGAGGAGGCGAAGCGCCGCAAGGAGCAGCAGGACGAGGTATTCAAAAAGGAGCTTACCCAGCTGGCCAGTGCTGTGCGGCAGGCGCAAAAAGAGATGCTTCAAAATTTCTTTCAGCAGCAAAAGCAGTTCGCGCGTCGTGAACACGAGTTCCAGCTGAAGCAGGACAATTTGGTGATGAGTGCATTGCGCAAACAGACGGATGCTTTGCTGCGCACAGCCAAACAACTAATGCAGTCCGAGGAGGAGGAGGAGGAGGTAGCAGAGTGCCCGTTGGCCTCTAAAACAGAACAGCAGCAGCAGCAAACAGAGGACAGATCAAGCAACATTCTGTTGCTGCAGCCTGAAATAGAGCTGCAGGAGGAGTTCCGAAAGCATGAGGATGCGGAAACGTTGCAAATTCAAGATCATGATCATGGCCATGACAATGTTAGGGATCATGATCAAGACCATGGATGCGTCCAGGCTCATGAACAGTTCGAGGAGGAAGCACAATACAGCAACGAGGAAAACCAGAGCGAAGCTGCTATGGAGTCGTCCATGTCCGCTGACAGCGAAGATGCCGGCAGCGAGGATGCCTCAAGTCAGAGCGCCAGCCCGAGCGAAGCACAAATATGTTAAAATATTACCCCTAGAATCAAGTATTATCACAAGAAGTCTACAATTTTGTTATTCCTAATGCCTGAAACATTTAACATTCCAAAATACATTCCTTAATTTTGAAAAAAATACGTAATTATGTAAATATAAAATATAAAATATATATATGTATACATATTCCTAGAGCAAAGCCCACATTGTTAAAAGACTTGATTATATTTAAGCATTAAGAAATGTAAAAAATGATAAATAAAATGTATTTATTGTTCTAGTACTCCCAATGGGACATATCGCGATTGCTTGTGCTTGAAACATCAAAATATACGCATACAAAGTGATATTTAAGGAATATCGAAATGGAATCAGAGAGGGAAACCATATATTATTATTAAGAAACTTAAATTTATGGCAAAAGTACTTTTTATTTACTCACAATTAGGGCGTATCACATATGGCTGATATTATCCAGGCACCATTTATTGAATGGTTGAATATCTTTAAATTATATCTCGATATAGGAGGCAATTATCAAGAGATTTGAATCGAAGGAATATGAATTGATTATGTAAAGTAAAGATATGAGATATCGAAATCTTAATGAGCATGGTTCACAGTATTTCAATTAAAAAACAAAGAGTACCAAATATCGCATACTTCAATGCAATAAAAGCTCAAGAATCAATTTCAAATGTTCTTAACAAGAATTGTATTTAGTATTGCAGTATGCGAAACAATATTCAAATTTAAGAATTAACAACGATCCACACTGAATACCCATCCAATCTAGTCAGGCCGATAGATGGGCGTCTTGGGTATAAATTCAATTAATATAACATACTCCATCATGGAATTGGAATCACATTGTTGCTTATGTAAACGCCAGTGTAGGCCTAGCTTATGATATAAATGACTATTCTCCCACTCGAGCAGCTTGTCCAGTGTCAATTGTGTCTGCAAGCAAGAATCAAATTCAAGATCATGATCAAAGCCATGACAATGAAAAGGATCATGACCATGACCATGGCTGCGACCAGGTCCTGGTTGGGGCTATCACGCCATGCCGCTGCACAGCACTAGCAGCATTAATATTGTTCATCCCACCAGCAAATTGATGCTGCCCTGCAAGCAGCTGCCAATGAGCATTCCCCAGGAAATAAGCTGTTGCTGAAGACCTAAACAGAGTTGTAAGAGGAGCTACGAAAGCTTGAGAATGAGGATACGTTGCAAGATCAAGATCATGATCATAACCATGATCATGGCCATGACAATGAAAAGGATCATGACCATGACCATGGCTGCGACCAGGATAATGAACAGCTCGAGGAAAAAGCACAATACAGCGACAAGGGGAACCAGAGCGAAACTGCTATGGAAGCGTCCATGTCGCATTTATAATGGTGTTCTCGGTCGGGGCAATCTCATCATACCGCTGCACAGCACTAGCGCATCCTCCGGGAGAAGCGCAAACAGAGGGCAGATCAGATTTTGTTGGTGCAGGTGAAGTTCCGAAAGCAAGAGAATGAGGAAATGTTGCAAGATCAAGATCATGATCATAACCATGATCATGGCCATGACAATGAAAAGGATCATGACCATGACCATGGCTGCGACCAGGATCATGAACAGTTCGAGGAGGAAGCACAATACAGCGACAAGGGAGGATGCCTCAAGTCACATATATCGTAAAATATATATTCGTTAAAAGACTTGATTATATTTAAGCATTAAGAAATGTAAAAAACCATAAATAAAGTGTATTTATTGTTCTAGTAGTCCCAATGGGGCATATCGCGATTGCTTGTGCTATTAAAGCTATTGAAACATCAAAACATACCCATACAAGGTGATATTTAAGGAATATCGATATGGAATCATAGATGGAAACCTTATTTTATATTAAAAACTTAATTTATGACAAAAGTACTTTTTATTTACTCACAATTGGGGCGGTTATCCAGGCATCGTTTGGAATCGAAAACGGACTTTATTTTAAAACATTAAATAAATAGTTTAACATATTTCAAATATATTTCGATATAGAACGCGATAATCAGAAGAGATTTTCATTCGAAGAATATGAGTTAATTATGTAAAGTAAATATATGAGATATCGAAATCTTAATGAGCATGGTTCACAGTATTTAAATTAAAAAACAAAGCTTCAGCTTCCATTTCCAAATTTCGCATACCTCAATGCAATAAAAGCTCAAGAATCAATTTCAAATGTTCTTAACAAGAATTGTATTTAGTATTGCAGTATTCGAAACAATATTAAAATTTAAGAATTAAACAAAAAAGGAAAACGCCCTAAACTAGCGTGAAATCAATTGTTCTTATTAGCTATATATTCCTTCAAAAATTTTTTTAAGCTAAATACTAAATATAACTAGCACTAGCTTAACACGTGTGTGTATGTTTCACTAAACTAGTTCTGTTTAGTTGTTGCACAAGAGTAAACGCCTAAAGCATAATTATTAATTATTAGTTACTAGTTGTTTTTTTTTTTTTTGTTGTTCCTTTTGTATATTACAATTACGATTATAGGCTCCCCCAAAATTCCCCCTCCCATATAATTGCCCCAACGACTGCAACGATCCACACTGCATACCCATCCAATCTAGTCAGGCCGATAGATGGGCGTCTTGGGTATAAATTCAATTAATATAACATACTCCATCATGGAATTGGAATCACATTGTTGCTTATGTAAACGCCAGTGTAGGCCTAGCTTATGATATAAATGACTATTCTCCCACTCGAGCAGCTTATCCAGTGTCAATTGTGTCTGCAAGCAAGAATCAAATTTGTTAATATCAAGTGCCAAAGTGCATAAAAGAACAAACTGTTATCAAACGTCTCTTACGCGTTTGCTCAGACATATGACCGGCCAGAGCGAGCAGCCCAGGGTACAGCAGCAACAGACGCAGCCGCAAAAGAGCCACTTGACATTCAGGGGCAGGGTCTTCTTCAATATGCCATTGATGCGACCGATGGTCGCTTTGAATTCCTCGGGCGCCACACGTGACAGCAAACCGCAGGGGAATTCGACATTAAAGCGATTGCTGAGACCAAAGCTGCAAAGCCAGAAAGGAGAAATAAATTACAATGGCTGCTACAAGTAATGCTTACAAGTATTATCTATTACAACTACAGTCTCGATTTTTAATTGTGTTATGCAATCAGTAGGTCTGTCAATAATTGGGCGCCAAATGGCACAGGGTCAGACGCACTGGCTGCGCGCCTGCTATCAATATAAACAAAACGTGCACCCAAAAACAGAATTAAGCTATCAAGAGCCTTGAGCTACATTGAGAACTAATGCATATGCACGTGTGTGTTTGTGTGTGTGTGTGCGTGTTTGTGCGCATGTGTGCATTTATTGTATCGTTTACTTACACCGTCATATTGCCCGCGCCTCGTATGATAATGGGCTCGGGCACTGGCATCACAGTCTGGTCCTGAAAATGCTCCAAATCATCCAGCTGCTCATCCTCGTAGATGGCATCGAAGTCGGAAAAAGACATTTTTACGATCTCCTTTGTTTCTTGTTGTTTTTATGTTGATTATGATGATGGGCGGTTGGCGGCGACGGTCTGTGCGTCACAGAGAAACAGTTTCCAAACGCTAGCAGCAAATATCAGCACATTTTTGATTTGACATTTGGGTGCGTTATTGTGATTGTATGTGTGCCACGGTTGGCTTTCGAATAAAATCTCAGTCTGAATGTTGGGCCTTCAGTATGATTGTTGTTCGCTCGGGACTCAAAATAAGCGCCGCCGTCTTTGTTGTTACTGTTATACTGCTGCTGTCGCTGCTTCCGCCATACGCGTTGGCGTTAACTGCGCTGCGGCGAGTACTGATACGAGCTGTGACGTTGACTTCCTTTATTGCGGTGCATTAAAAAATGAAGGCACATAAATGAAATATATGTATTATAAAACTGAAGACAAAACAATAATCGAATTGATGTAAGTTATGTGCTTGTGTGCGCATCAGCTAGCAATTTTTCTCAAGGTTGTGCAACACTGGCGTCCGTCTGCTCTGTTATAAGTTGTTGTTGTTATTGCTACTCCCGCAGTGGGGGGCCAATGCTATGTGCAGTCGTTTTTCTTTGCTGCGTATTTCGCAATCACTTTTTCAACTATTGCTCACAATTGTTAATCTAAGTCGTGCGCATTTCAAACGTGCTGACTTATTTTTAGCACTTGCTGTTTTAAAAGCAATTTAAAAGTTTTTGCCAATTTACACTCTGTTATTTTATGTTTTTTAATACCGAAAATATGTTCTCTGCTTAATATTTGTCGTCGCGAGACGACCAGCTGGCAGCTGTTCGTTATGTAGGGTTGCCCAACCGTCGCAAAAAGTGAGAAGTCGCATTCAAACGTGAGAATGACCAGCGGGTTAATATTGATTTATTAATTAGCTACATTTAAAAATAATTAAAGTGTATAATTATATATAATTATAATATATATAAATATATATGTATATAGCACATATAAGCGTATGTTCTAACTAATAATAAAAAATATTGTGCACAAATTCGACAGACTAGCAAACACCAATTAATTTGCAGCATTAACACAAGCATTAATGTAAAAATGACAAGGCATATATTGAGAGTGGGTCACGTCCATCTTCTACTTCTTTTTCGATGCACTCGGGCTGGTCGATTGGAAGACCGAGGAGGCGGACATTAGATTCTCAATATATTGGCCAAGCACTTGATTCTCAGAACGCAATTTAAGATTCTCCTCCTTTACAGAGTCCACCCGCTGCGACAAATCATCCAGTGTGTTTTGCAACTCCAAGACTTGGGTAATTAACCGAGATTTCTCCTGTACGTCATCGGGTCCCACGTCCAGCGTGTCAAGTGAATTGTGGGAGGAATCCGGCGTTGAGCTGTGATTGGTAAACGAAGAGCGCAGCGAGTCCATAGACCGACCATTCGCGATGTTTTGAGTAGTTGAGGGTTCATCTTCGTTGATAATAACTGGAAGGCAGTCAATAAATTATTACTCTTTCCACAGCCGGACGCGCCCAAGGCGTCGACATCTACACTAACACTGTACTCACCCTGCGGATCTTCATCAATCGCCATTATATTGTCATCGTTGTTAATTATTGACATGCTTAATTATCTGCTTTCAACGGGGCAACGTTTAATTAACTTTAATTTTTATTTTTTACAAGAAATTACACGGAAAACTAAACTACCACTTTTTGGTTAAATACGCGCTGTTTCACACTAACTTTGGGTCATTTTTCAACACTCAAACATTTAAGTATGAATTGAAAGAAGAAGCATGATTGCTAACATGTAAGAATTTAAATCTGCGACTACAATATTTTATAGAATATTAAAAAGTTAATTTTATTTGGTTTGAATAATATAAATATTCTACTAATACTTCTGATCATTTCATTGCGTTTTGAAGGGGCTAGAACAGTAAATCGGTACATTTACAACTATAGTCGCCGATTTGCATTTTATAGCTCCGTTAAGTTCAAGACTTCTAAAAAAAAATGAAGTGTTAGCTTACTTAAGCATAATTTAGTCATATCAATTTAAATATAAAGTAAAATTGACTTAAAAGTCAACACTTTATTCACGTTGTTTTAAATATAACCGACGTGAGCAAGTTGTTGCTGCAGAGTTGTCACCTGAGCAGCATTCGATCGACGAATTAAAATACACACGCATGCTTTTTGCCATTATAGTTTTTAACGTTGCACTGAAAACAACTCCTTAAGTAACTAAAGTTAAAAGCAATAATTAAGTAGTTGTGATTAATATAAAACAAAAAGCTGATAAAGTGCAAAAAAGCACTTGTCAGTATATATATATAAGTTAACAACTAAGCATAAATATATTGCCCTAGCAATTAAGTAGCTTCGTATTAACAATGCTGACGCGCCAGAACTGAGTTCAGCGCTCTGCGCTAAGAACGGCCAGCAGCGGTAAGCTGACACTGCATGGAATGCTGAGTCGGCTTGCCGACCATGCTTTGATGGCGTGATGCATTGAGGCTTAGGGTATTTGTATAATTTGCTTGTCCCCTAGTTTTTAGTTTTATATGAAGCGCGCAACACATAAGTCGCCGAAATAAATATACTGCTCCGGCATTGCCGATAAAACATATCTTTCGTAATATTACTGGATCAAGGAGAACATATTTTGATCAAGGGCAGCGCGGGATCAACGCAACTTACCCAAGATAACATTGTGTTACATCGCAGAACATACATTAATGAATAACTAGGGCAGCGCGGGATCAACGCAACTTACCCAAGATAACATTGTGTTACATCGCAGAACATACATTAATGAATAACTGGCGCCCAACCAATAAATAGGAACCCATACCATGTAAGTTCATAAGTGATTTCAGTTTGAAGAAATTATTCTCGAACGCCACGTACCGATACGTGTGATTTTTAAAAAAAAAAAAAAAAAAAAAAAAAAAAAAAAAAAAAAAAAAAAAATTGTAAAGTAAAGTAAATATTGCTGCTCTCTTCTGCCAGCATTTCATTCCTTTAAATCATTGCATACTTTCACTAAAAACTGTTGCATACTTTTACCAGCGTTCCTTGTCAATAAAGCATTGCATACCTTAAACGAATAATTATTGCATACTTTCGGCAGCATTACATTTTTTGCTGCATACCCCTAACAATTTTTTATAATAAATATTGCATACCCCAAGATTCACCAGTTTCCACTATTGCCAACAGCGTTACCTGCCGATCTTTCTCGATCGGCCTAAGTTTGAAAAGTGCCAACCATAAGCCAATGAGTTGGAATTATAGGGAGATAAAAGTCGAATATAATAGTGACGATAGCTGGGAGGGGGAAATCAATTGCTCAGTAGATCCTACTCCTGCAGATACCGTTGTAACTGAAGAAATGGAGCCGGCTCAAGTTCAGAATCTCATTGAGGGTGCCATCAGGCAAGCTTTAGCGCAACAACAAAATCAGTTTCAAGCACAAATAACCGCTTTAGCTTCACAAGTACAGAGTTTGCAGGTGGAGGCGCCGCAAATCGTCACATACGAGAAAATATCCGTCGATCCAAACGCCAAATGCGATATTCCCTTGGACATTATTAAATCTGTGCCGGATTTCTCCGGCGTACAGGATGAGTATGTAGCGTGGAGGCAAGCAGCCATCTACGCGTACGAACTATTCAAGAACTATCCAAAGAGCACTGCACACTACCAAGCGGTAGCGATCATTAGGAACAAAATCAAAGGCCCAGCTGGAGCCTTACTAGTGTCTCACAACACTGTCCTAAATTTCGATGCAATACTAGCTAGGCTAGATTGCACATACTCGGACAAAACATCCTTGCGCTTGCTGAGACAATGTTTGGAGTTAGTTACGCAGGGCGAAATGTCCCTGATGCAATACTACGATGACGTCGAAAAGAAACTCACGCTCGTAACTAACAAAATTGTAATGTCTCACGACCAAGAAGGCGCGGATTTGCTCAACCGGGAGGTCAGAGACGACGCCTTGCACGCCTTTATCTCCGGTCTTAGGAAGCCGTTGAGAGCGGTTGTGTTCCCTGCACAACCAAAAGATCTACCATCCGCTCTGGCCCTTGCCAGAGAGGCAGAAGCTAGCATTGAGAGAAGCATGTTCGCGAACTCTTACGCTAAAGCCTTGCAAGACCGAGCGCAAATTGCTGAAAGTAACAAAAACCGTGCCCAAGGCAAGCAAACCAGATTTAACAAAGATGAGCAAAATCAGGAGAGAAATCCCCATTTTGTGAAACGCCAAAAGGGCGGTCCCCAGCCCCAGGCCCCTAAAGATAATCAAACTGAGGCTCCACAGCCCATGGAAGTTGACTCTTCCTCCAGATTTAGACAAAAAACCGACTACAGCAAGCGTCAGGCTAATGAGTCCAACGCACCAAAACGCAAGAATTCGTCAGACCGTTCAACAGGTCAAAGACGACAACGCGTTAACAATGTCGTACAATCAGATTCCAAAGAAGCCGTAACAGAATTCGAGAAGGCGGCCAAAGAGGCAGTTGAAGAACTAGAGAGTGAGAACGAGTACGCACCTGGTGACGACTCGATTAATTTTTTAGGGAACACTCCCGGCTTCCGTACATTGAACGACGGTTGGCTGGGAGAACTCTGAAGATGTTGATTGACACTGGCGCGGCAAAAAATTATGTGAAGCCCTTAACAGAGCTAAAGACCATAACGCCGGTCGCCAAGTCATTCTCGGTAAACTCGATCCACGGGTCTACCGAAATCAAGCGCAAATGCTTGATGAACATTTTCCAACATACCTCCCCGTTTTTTCTCCTCGATACCCTAAGTTCTTTCGACGCCATCATAGGCTTCGACTTGCTAACACAAGCCGGAGTCAAATTGAACTTGGCAAAAAACACTCTGGAATACCAGAGTACATCCGAAAAACTCCAGTACTATCAATGTGCTGATGTGAACTTCACCGATGTCAACGACATCGTAGTCCCCCCTTCCGTAAAGAAAGAGTTCAGGGACATGATACTCAGAAACAAAAGAGCCTTCTCAAATGCAGACGAAGCTCTCCCTTTTAATACTGCTGTTATCGCTACAATCCGAACAGTAGACAACGAGCCTGTGTATTCAAGATACCCGAGTCTCATGGGTGTTTCTGACTTCATAAACAAAGAAGTCAAACAATTACTGGACGATGGCATAATCAGGCCCTCCAGATCGCCTTACAACAGCCCAACATGGGTGGTTGATAAAAAAGGCACTGACTCATACGGTAACCCAAAAAAAAGGTTGGTAATCGACTTCAGGAAACTGAACGAAAAAACCATACCGGACCGCTACCCCATGCCGAGCATCCCCATGATCTTAGCAAATCTAGGAAAGGCAAAATACTTCACTACCCTCGACCTAAAGTCGGGGTACCATCAAATTTACCTTGCGGAGCATGACCGCGAAAAGACTTCATTTTCAGTAAGCAGCGGCAAGTACGAGTTCTGTCGCCTACCATTCGGCCTGCGCAATGCAAGCAGCATATTCCAAAGGGCAATAGACGATATCCTGAGGGAACATATAGGAAAGATTTGCTTTGTCTATGTAGACGACGTCATAATTTTTTCTAAAAACGAAACGGAGCACCTTCAACACATTAACATTGTGTTAAAATGTCTAATCGACGCAAACATGCGTGTAGGCCCCGAAAAGACTCGTTTCTTCAAGGAAAGTATCGAATTCCTGGGTTTCATTGTAACCAAAGACGGAGCAACATCCGACCCCAAAAAAGTTAAAGCCATTCAGGAATTCCCTGAACCAAAGAATGTCTACAGCGTTAGGTCCTTCTTGGGGTTAGCCAACTACTATAGGGTCTTTATTAAGGACTTTGCCGCTATAGCGCGTCCGATATCGGACATACTTAAAGGGGAAAATGGTTCAGTTAGTAGGCACGTATCAAAGAAAATCCCTGTTGAATTTAATGAAGTTCAACGCGATGCATTTCACCGTCTGCGGAGTATTTTGGCATCAGAAGACGTCATGTTAATGTATCCAAACTTCCAGAAACCGTTCGATTTAACCACTGATGCTTCGGCCAGTGGAATTGGCGCGGTTCTTTCCCAAGGCAATAGGCCAATAACAATGATTTCTCGCGCCTTAAAACAGGCCGAACAAAACTATGCCACTAACGAAAGAGAATTGCTGGCCATTGTGTGGGCTTTAGGCAGATTGCAGAACTTTCTGTACGGTTCTAGGGAAATTAACATTTTCACGGACCACCAGCCGCTCACGTTCGCTGTGTCGGACAAGAACACGAATTCCAAGATTAAAAGATGGAAATCTTACATTGACCAGCACAATGCCAAAATGTTTTATAAACCGGGCAAAGAGAATCTGGTGGCGGATGCCCTTTCAAGGCAAAACATTAATGCTCTGCAAGATGGGCCCCGTTCGGACGCTGCAACCGTTCACAGCGAACTTTCCCTGACCTACACGGTCGAGACAACAGACAAACCTTTGAATTGCTTTAGGAACCAGATTGTCCTAGAGGAATCGCGTTTTCCGCTAAAGCGAAACTTGTTGCTGTTTCGCAGCAAAACACGCCACTTGATCAGTTACACTGACAAGAGCTCAATTCTCAAAACCCTCAAAGAAGTTGTGAATTCTGGAGTCGTTAATGCAATACATTGCGATCTTCCCACGTTGGCAAGTTTCCAACACGACCTGATTTTGTATTTCCCTGCTACCCAATTCTGGCATTGCAAAAATCTTGTGCAAGATATAACGGACAAAAACGAGCAGTTAGAAATCATCACTGCCGAGCACAATCGAGCGCACAGAGCAGCTCAGGAAAACATTAAACAAGTACTTCGGGACTATTATTTTCCCAATATGGCCAGTCTGGCCAAAGAAGTGGTTGCAAACTGCAGGGTCTGCACTAAAGCCAAATACGATAGGCACCCGAAGAAACAAGAACTCGGGGAAACGCCTATACCAAGTTATACTGGCGAAATGTTGCATATTGACATTTTCTCGACAGACAAGAAACAGTTCTTGACCTGCATAGACAAATTCTCAAAATTTGCAGTCGTCCAACCGATATTATCCAGAACGATAATCGATGTCACAAGCCCTCTACTGCAAATTGTTAACCTTTTTCCCGCAACCAAGACAATTTATTGCGATAACGAGGCGGCCTTCAATTCCGAGACCATCACTTCGATGCTCCGAAACGCCTACGGCATTTGCATTGTGAATGCGGCTCCGCTTCACAGCACCTCAAACGGCCAGGTGGAGCGCTTTCATAGCACCCTGACCGAAATTGCGAGATGCCTCAAGTTAGACAAGAAAATCAGCGACACTACAGAATTAATCTTAAAGGCTACGATAGAGTACAACAAAAGTTTGCACTCAGTAACCCTCGAGAAACCAATTGAGGTCGTTCATGCAGCAGCTTCTGATCGTCGCGGGAACGTCAAAAACAGGCTAATTAAGGCACAGCAAGACAATATCAAAAGGTGCAATGCATCCAGACAAAACCGCGTTTTCGAGGTAGGAGAAAAGGTGTTCCAGAAGAACAACAAGAGGCTAGGGAACAAGTTAACTCCCTTATGCTCAGAACAAAAGGTCGAAGCAGACCTGGGAACGTCTGTCCTCATTAAGGGGAGGGTGGTCCATAAGGACAACCTGAAATAAGTTTTCCTCCACAATTAGCTAGTAAGCCAACTCAGAGTTTAAACACCGTCTTATATTGTTCGTCCATTTCAGGTTTGCACTCACTTTGCTTGTGGCACTAGCAGCGGTAAATGCTCGGATCACCGACTTCTCGCATGTCAACTACATTCCGGTCTTAGACGGGGAAGTACTGGTGTTCGATCAACGTAGCTACTTGAGGCACTCAAGTAACATTTCCGAATTTGTTAGTATGATAGACGAGACGGAAAGACTGTCCGATTCCTTTCCACAGTCGCATATGCGCAAACTACTAGACGTAGATACAGATCACCTTAGAACATTGTTGTCCGTTCTTCAAGTGCATCACAGATTTGCACGAAGCCTCGATTTCTTAGGCACTGCCTTGAAGGTTGTTGCTGGCACCCCTGATGCTTCAGATTTCTTAAGGATCCGCGTTACAGAGACGCAGTTGGTGGAGGCTAACTCCAAACAGATACTAATAAACTCCGAAACTCAAAAACAAATAAACAGACTAACGGACACTATCAATAAAATTATCAGTTCCCGCAAAGGCGATTTGGTTGACACTCCTCATTTATTCGAGACCCTGTTGGCAAGAAATAGAATACTGAACACAGAAATTCAAAATTTAGTACTCACCATAACGTTGGCAAAAGCAAGCATAGTAAATCCTACAATCCTTGATCATACCGATCTAAAATCACTTATCGAACAAGATACCCCAATAGTTAGCTTGATAGAAGCTTCTAAGATCAAGGTCCTTCAGTCCGAGAATATTATCCACATATTAATAGCCTACCCTAAAGTTGAGTTTAGGTGCCAAAAGGTCTCCGTCTACCCCGTTTCACACCAACAAACCATTCTGCGACTCGACGAAGACACGTTGGCGGAATGCGAAAAGGATACCTTTGCAGTTACTGGATGCACCGTAACTACGCATAACACCTTCTGCGAACGAGCACGGCGCGAAACCTGTGCTAGCTCCCTTCACGCGGGAAACATCGCCAACTGCCACACTCAACCTAGCCACCTGAAAGCGATAATGCCTGTAGATGACGGCGTCGTGGTTATCAACGAAGCGACAGCGCGCGTCCGAACAGATGATGACGCAGAGGTAACCGTCTCAGGAACCTTCCTGATAACTTTCGAACGGTCTGCAACTATCAATGGCACAGAATTTGTAAACCTGCGCAAATCACTAAGCAAGCAGCCTGGCATCGTGAGGTCACCGCTCCTAAACATCATCGGACATGACCCGGCACTAAGCATACCACTCCTGCATCGTATGAACATCAACAACTTGCTAGCAATTCGAGATTTCAAGGAGGAGGTAGTTGCGGCTGGCTCGCCTAAATTCTGGTTCGCGATTGGCGCGGTCCTGAATGTCGGACTAATTGGCTCATTCTTCCTTTTTCTGGTGCTAAGGAAAAGACGAGCCTCCATGCAGATGCAGAAGGCGATTGACAAATACGACATGCCCGAGGACGGCCATCATCCTGAGGGGGGGGTAGTTAACAACTAAGCATAAATATATTGCCCTAGCAATTAAGTAGCTTCGTATTAACAATGCTGACGCGCCAGAACTGAGTTCAGCGCTCTGCGCTAAGAACGGCCAGCAGCGGTAAGCTGACACTGCATGGAATGCTGAGTCGGCTTGCCGACCATGCTTTGATGGCGTGATGCATTGAGGCTTAGGGTATTTGTATAATTTGCTTGTCCCCTAGTTTTTAGTTTTATATGAAGCGCGCAACACATAAGTCGCCGAAATAAATATACTGCTCCGGCATTGCCGATAAAACATATCTTTCGTAATATTACTGGATCAAGGAGAACATATTTTGATCAAGGGCAGCGCGGGATCAACGCAACTTACCCAAGATAACATTGTGTTACATCGCAGAACATACATTAATGAATAACTTATATATTTGGAGTGTTTCTTTATAATAAAAGAACAGTTAGCATTTGCGTCAAGTATATTGAATACTGAATCATATAGCTGGATAAAACCGTGTTATTTGCCTACAACATTCATACAGGTATTGTTATTACATTGCCAAAATATGTAAGGTAATAATATATAGCTTACTGATTTCTCACTTGTTTCAGTTCTCTGAGTTCTCACCACCAGGAAACAGCGGTCTTAAAGTTCATGCTGTTTGTGCACGCTCAACTTCAATTCGAAAATCAAAGGTAATCTTTTGTTTAAGTTTTACATCATCTAACTGTTAAACTAAATGCGAAATTAAAGTATGCTTTTGGCATAATAAGCAAAGCCCAGATAAGGTATGTATGCACATACATATATATGTATATACATATGTATGACATTGGCATCACCATTCGCATACACATACGTAACAACTTTAAAATTAACAACCTTAAGTAATTTGGCTAAGGATGCAAACTCATTGGGCATAAGCCCAGTACAAGTGAATGGGCTATTAATAAATTTTGTAAATGTTTTCTAAGCAAATATAAATCTGCATGCAGCATACCTAAAAATGATATCAATATTCAATATGCGAGCTGCCAACTTTGCCAAAAAAATGCGTTGTCAAACAGGCGCGCAAACTAACGGCATGATATTATTAAATAAAGCTATTAATGTTGCATGAACATGCCTAGTTTTTTAAAATAATTGATCCATACGTATTTGTTAACCATTTTCGATCATTTTAGGGCATACTAAACGACGTCATAACTGAAAAGATTTTTAAATCGAGAAACTGCGCGGAACTGCCATATTTGGCAAAAATAATACGGCAGCCTTAAAAATCCATAACATAAAAATACCAACTTTTGTAAAACTGTTAGCGCGTGATTATTTTAATATTTCATAATAAACAGTAAATTATTCAAAAAATATATAGCAAATGTGAAAAGTTATAAAGCCGAATGCGCATTGCTGTCAAATAAAACTCACAATAGGCAAGAGCAAACAGTTTACTGCCGTAAAAAAAAAAATACCAGACCGTGCAAAGGTGTAGTGATTGGATAAAATGCCAAAACTTGTGCGGCAACGTACGAATTGTGTTGCCTGCAGTTGAAAAGTGTGAAAAAGACGCCATTTGAGTTGACTTTGTATACAAGTTTTTAAAAACTGCCAATAGCCTGTGCCTGTGCTAAGTATAGTTAATCATTAAAAGAACAAAAAACCAAAAACTAAAACAATGCTGCCCGCCAATCTGGGCGCTGCAAATGTGAGCCAAGGAAAACGGGAAGTGCCCATTACCATGTCGCCAGTAAAACCGGGGAACAACAGTGGTGTCTCTGGCGGCACACTGACGGCAAAGGCAACAAGCAAGGCGCCAGAGGAGCTGCGTTATTTGCCCATTGCCACAATGCCCACCAAGCCCTGTAATATAACAATTAGCAGTTATAAAACGAATAATAATAATAGTTGTAAAAATATGAACAACAATGCGGCTGCAATTAAAACCAAACTGACACCAATGAATATTGTACAAAAACAGTTGAAAGCGAGCAATAATAATAATAATAACAATAATAATAATATAACTGCAGCAGCGCCGCCACTTATACAATTGGTTGCCAACAGTTCCAATGGCAATGCCAACTCGCTGCTATCCATACTGTCGCCCAAAACGCTCATCAAGCCCGCTAGCAATAACAGCAATGGCCAGGCTACGGCTCAGCCGCAACCTGTGCTCATACGACCGGCCACCACGATGACCACGATTCCTGTACAGCAGCAAAATGGTGCCAATCACAACAGCAACAACAACAGCCACAGCTCGGGAGCAGCAGCAGCGGCAGCAGGCACCGTGGCACCATCTCACTTGATATCGCTGGTGGCCGCCAAAACACCTTGTAAAACGGGTAAGTTTTCTTCCTCTTCTTTTTTTTTTTTTTGAGAAGTTATATTGGGCAGAACTTATATAATAATACTACTAATAAATAAACTGTGTGCTGTCTTCTGTGCTGTTGCGGCTTCGGTACGATTCGATATCGGTTTTGCCTCTCAATTCAATTTTTGCTTTGGGCACAGTCGCTGCTGCTGCGAGTCGCTCATTTAGTTGTTGTCGCTGGCCGCGTTGGAATAAATGTGTGTGTGCGTGTGCGTGTGTGTGTGTGTGCGGAGTCTCTTATTATTACTATTATACACATAGTATTAATGTTGTTGTTGCTGTTGCTGTTGTTGTTGCCGTTGCTCTATTATCGTTGTTGTTGCTGCCGTCATTTAACTAGCATTGTAGCTGCTACTTAACGAGTTAACATATTTTTATTTCATAATATTAATTAGTTTGAGTACGAAAATAAGTTTCATGTGGCTATTTTGAGATTTATATAGTTCACGGATTTGGTTTTTCTTTATTTAATTTTATTGTTGTTGTTTCATACAAATCAAATCGATTGACAAATCATTTAACTGAAATATGTCTTTTGTTTAAGCTGATGACACAATTTTTTTTGGCAGTTTTGAAGAGGCTAAAAGTCACTTGTAAATAAAATACTTAATTTTATTGTTGTTTATCAACGTTATGTGTGTACGACATTTATATATGTATATATATATATATATATATATGCAAAAGTCGCGGGCGGGCGTGCACAGGCTATGACGATGATCAGGTTTTTGCAGCTGCAGCTGCCTCAAGAGAGCGAGAAAAAAGAAAACAATTAAATGAGAAAAACTGCTGCGAGGACAACGCTTAAGTTTGAATTTGCAACTTAATTAGGAAATATAGTCGAGGCCTAGCTGCCTTTGCCTTGAGCTGCAATGTGACTCACATTTCCAACCAAAAACAACAATATTTTTTTTTTATCACAATATAAACATATACACGTAGAATAAGTGCAAGTGTATTTGTACACACACACCATTTTTTCTGAACATATATTGTATAATGTGCATTTCTTTTTTGTTTTCTGTTTTCAGCTGCTGTTCCAGCTAGCTCTGCCGCTGCCCAAATTTCATTGCTTTCAAAGTCTCGTACTCCAGTTATATTGAGCAAAGCGGCCGTGGAGAAAATCCGTTTGAAGTTTGGCCAGGCGCAGGCGCAGGTAAACGCCGGTGCGCTGTTTTTAACTAAATCGCTCAAGCCCAACGGCATCAATACCAACAATACCAGCAATAGCAACAACAAAAGCGGCAATTCTAGGCCAGCACAGGAGACAGCAGGAGCAACGCAACCGGCAGTACAAAAGCCTTTAGGCGTTGTGGCCACTTCCACGTCCATGCCCACGCCAATGCCTGCGCCCATGCCTACGCCCATGCCCGCGCCCATGCCTACGCCTATGCCCTTGCCCATGCCCATGCCCAGCAATGCTCTGCCAGAGATCAAGATCAGTCCGCTGCCTGCCGTCGCTCTGAATGGTGCCAAAATCATGAAAGTACAGGCGAGCCCATTGGCTGTGATTATGCCAACAGTGCCAGCGCCAGTGCCAGAGCAAGCTCCAACAACAACAACAATCACAACCACAATTGTGCAACCAAGTGTGCAACAGGGTTCACCCAAGCTGCAGCGCTCCAAGTCGTTGGCGGGCAATGAGGATAATGCGGCTGTCATATTAATACAAAGCAATGCCACAGAGCGGCGACATTCGGTAGCCATTATGGCCAAGGAAGTGGATGTCGTGGAGCAGACAAAGCCCATCGAAACCATAACCATAGAAGACGATGACAGCGAGGAGGAAAAGGAGGCACAGTTCAATCAGCAGCAGGAAAAAAGGCAGCAACTGGCACAAAAGATGCAGCAACATAAACCACAACAACAACAACCACAACAAAAAACACCCACAACATCTACACAAACATCGAGAAAAAACTCAACAGCCAGTCGGAGCAGCATCACCAGCAGCAGCAGTAGCGATGTGGAAATGATTATTATGCCGGAGGAGGTGCGGCCTAAGCAATTGGAAACAAAGCAACCAGCCAATGGTGCCATTATAAATATTGTTAAGGCTGAGACGCTGTCGCTCTCCAAGGAGGAATTTGAGAAATCGCTACGTTGCGATGAGCACGTGGACAATAGTTCGCCCTCTTCCGTGTGCACTAATCACACCTCAAAATCGGGCACCATCACGTTAACGCCCATTTCTCGGCTGCAACATAATGGCGTTGAGCCGAAGACGGCCGCTGCTGTTACATTAAACACTTTTAAGCGTAGCATGCAACAGCATTTTGGTATGTTGCGCTGGCGAGAGAAACAGCCGGGCATGCTGCAGAATTCCACAATGCGCTTCGAGCTTAATCGCTACAATTTGCTGCAGTTGGCGGAGCGCTGCGATTCGCGTCAGGGTCCCGCCAGCTACTTTGAGCGCGCGCTCTTCGATCGTCCCGTACGCCGACCCAACAGCACCACCCATCCATTACTCTATTTATGCTCGCGCTGCAACTGTCATGGACCTGCCTCGGATTTTCTGGCGCCGCGTGAGTAAACATCATGAGATAACCAAACTGTGCCCAGACTAAATTTGCCTTTCTTTGCAGGTTTCTGCTCACTTAGCTGTGTTCGACGAGCGCATAAACGTCGTCAGCTCAATCCGCCTGGCGTGGCCAGCGAGAGTAAAATAAGTCGCTTGCAGGAGCCAAAGTTGGTCCAAAATGGTCACCTACAGCAACATCAGCAACAGCTCCAGCTGCAGCAGCAGCAGCAGCAGCAGCAACTGCAGCTACAACAGCAACTGCAACGGGAACAGGAACGCGAACGGGAGCGTAAATCAACCACCGCAAAGCGACCTTTTCGCTGGACCGAATATCTCAAACTGAAGACTAATGGTGATGCGGCGCCTATACATCTTTTCCTCAATCCCTTTCCCATCAAACCCAATTGCTTCAAGCGTGGCATGAAACTGGAGGCCATTGATCCGGAGAACTGTTCGCTATTCTGCGTCTGCACCATTGTTGAGGTGCGTGGCTATCGCTTGAAACTCAACTTTGATGGCTATTCGAGCATGTATGATTTTTGGGTGAACGCGGATTCCATGGATATCTTTCCGCCGGGCTGGTGCGAACGCACCTCGCACGTACTGCAAGCGCCCAAAGGCTATTGCCCGGACCGTTTCACCTGGTATCGCTATCTGGTCAAGACCAAGGCAAAGGCAGCGCCTTCTACACTCTTCACCCATCTCAATGCAACCAAGCATACACAAATTAATAACTTCAGTGTAGGCATGCATCTGGAGGCCGAGGATTTAAATGATACGGGCAAGATTTGTGTGGCTACCGTGGCAGATATACTGGATGAGCGCATACGTGTACATTTTGATGGCTGGGACGATTGCTACGACTTCTGGGTGCATATCAACTCGCCCTACATACATCCCTGCGGCTGGCATGAGGGTCGCCAGCAGCTGATCGTGCCACCAGACTATCAGAACATTTTGTTCAACTGGGCTGACTATATTGAGGAAGTGGGCGGCATTGCGGCGCCCGCGGATCTGTTTAAGCCACGAGAGCCCATGGAATTTCAAGCGCGCATGAAGCTCGAGGTTGTCGACCAGCGTAATCCCTGCTTGATACGACCAGCGACGGTGGTCACACGCAAGGGCTATCGCGTCCAACTGCATCTTGATTGCTGGCCAGCGGAGTACTATTTTTGGCTGGAAGATGATAGTCCCGATTTGCATCCGATTGGCTGGTGTGAGGCCACCTCACATGAACTTGAAGTACCGCCGGGCTTCCAGCAGCGTGCCTCTCTGATGCCCTGCGACGTGGCAGGCTGCCGCGGTTTTGGCAACGCCAAACGCTTCAATCTAAATGTGCACGCCCTACGTGATTGCTGTCCCTATGCGCCAGAGAACTGGCGCCAGTGGCGTGCGAAGACGGTGAAGCCGCCACGCGTTCTACCTGAACATATCAAGCGAACTGAGTCACCTAAGCCGCTTCCGCAGCCACAGCCGCAGCCGCAGCCTATTAAGACACCCTCACCAATTTTGGAAAGTCAGTTAAACACGAATTCGAAGCCAGCGGCTAGTGTCAAAGCTAAAACATACGGAAAAGCGAAGAAATCACGACCGAGCCTGGACTGTGAACCAAAACCCAAGCTAAAGCGTGAGGAGCCCAAGCCGTTGTCCGTTGAAGTCAAGTCAGAACCTGTCCTAAAATCTGTCGAAGATGAACGCATGGATCTAAATCCGCACTGCCTGTCCATAGCCAAGACCATTGTGGCGGAATATGGGCCACAATTTGCGCGCAATTATCGCTTGTGGCAAAAGAACAGCGATTTTGACATGGCGCAGCTTAAAAGCAATCCGCTCTACTGGACCAACTGGGATGTCTATGAGTTTGTTGAGCGTGCGCTGAAATCCCCCAGCATTGCTCAATTGCTTTTTGACGAGGAGATCGATGGACGCGCTCTTTTAATGATGGGACGCAAAGATTTGGCTACCTACTTCAAGCTTAAAGTGGGTCCAACGGTAAAACTCTTCTCGCTGATTGTCAATCTGCGCATTGCGGTCGCGTGCAAGTTTGCCACCAAGGAGACGGGTCTCAATTTTAATCGGGTCAGATGTTCAACACTGCCTGGCAAACAGGAATCGGTGGAGAATAAACCAGAACTCAAAACAGACAATCATTTGACTGCAACGCCAAATGGCTTGCAGCAAGCAGAGGTTGTAGATAGCTCAGCAGAACAAGAAAATCTTAAAGAGGAGCGAGACGAGGAAGAATACGAAAATGATGTGGATTTTGATTATTCAGAGCACCCAGAACGAGAGCTTACTGACGAGGAGGACGTTGTGCTGGACAGCGAGGATTTTCTTAGCGTTAAGCCCCTACACAGCATTGTCAACAGTGTGGGAACTATTGAAGATACAGATTCAGATGTTACTATGACGCCCCTGGATATGCTGCCCGTGAGTGTATGATAGGGCACCCCATCTGCCGCCAGCCATTATGTTTCAAGAACGTTTAGTTTTTAAGTCAATTTTTATCAACTTATAACTATGGAAATTCAGTTTAATTAGTTGACCTATTTCTATAAGATTTGTTGCGTTGGCTCGTTTTCATTTGATTGATATTGCGTATATTCTATTGATATGGTAATTATTCTTTAAGCGTTTCAATTAAAGCTACTGTATAAAACACATTTACATCTTGTACGACAATCCCCAACAAGCCGAACTATTGGTCTCCGGATAAGCTCTTTTCGTGCTATTCCACAGAATACGAGTAAAATCTCCCTGCTAAGGATCACAGGCCCTTTAACCGTAGAGGACGCCGCTCTAAGCATGTCGAGACTTCCGACCCCGACCCAACCATCGATAACTTCTTGGGTTAGCCAAGCTACGGATCATTGGAAATGGCCAGGCAAGTGCCAATCAGCTAAAACTCGATTGATCAATGGAACAACCGCCCCAGATCACATTGCGCTTGACTTTATACATCAATATTTAATACGCAAGAGAAAATTCATTTAATGCTATTTCGTTTTGAATTTCGAGGTGATGCTCGCTGCGGTGATCTCTGCAGTGTTCGTTTTTCCGCTGTTGGTGATCCTGCTGATTTCTTGAACTTGTTTGGCGCAGGCCGGCCCTCGTCCTCGCTAGATGTTGGCAATTGTTCGTCTTCAGGTTTGTCCTCGCCAGATATTGGTTGTATTTCTGCTGCAGCTGCGACCTCCTTAGGTGTTAGTGATTGTGGTAGTTCTGGTTCCTCTACAAACGGTTCTTCTGGCGATTCAGCTGCTTCTATTTCATTTTCGTCATTGTCGCTTATGGCCAAGGTGCCGTCCGCCTCGAAGAGTGGCTCGCCAAATAGATGCGTCACCTCGACAAATTGCTGAAAGCACGCCATATTTCTATAATGCAAATTGTTGTATACCTGATACTTCTTCAAGGACTGCAGCAGCTCCTTGTCTGAAACGGTGCCCGCGCTTTTCAAAATGACCATCAGCGCATGTAGCTCCTTAACGGAGAATTTGAGAAAAGAGTTGTCATTGAGCAGCTTATTCGCAAAGGGCACAATTTTCTGTGGCTCACGTAAGAATTAAATTTATAAATTACAAATTCAACAATTAACAGAGTAATCCCTACCTTTCCCACCAGCTTCATCATGGCCGGTCGATTATGCTCGTTGGCCAGCTGAAAGATTTTCAGCACCGTGCCCATAGGCCAATTCTGGTTGGCCAACTTGCCAATATAGCCATCGACAAAGTCGGGCATCTTATATTTGGTTGCCAAATAGATGAGATCTGGACACATCTCGATAGTTATGTCATTGTATATCTCATAGGTGTAGATGTAGAGCAGAAGGGTCTCGTATGCATCGGGCGAGGCATCATTCACATTCATCACCAGCATGTTTCTGGTTCTGGTTTCCGTCTGTTCGAACATGCGCTCGAACTCCTCCGAGGCGGAGGCCAGCATTACCTTGTGACACTGAAACTGGCGGCAGCAGCTCTTTTTAAACTTATCCATATACCACACATGCAGCTCACAGTCCGACAATTGCCCACTACGGAGCAATTCAAGGCGACGTAACTTGCAGAACATCATATGGAAAATTTTTAAATACTATAAAAATTTGTTAGTATAACCGATTGCTTGGAGTCGTAAATGTAAAAGACATATATTTTCGGTGTTTGATTTAGAAATTCCCCAATATAGCAGCCTGTTGAAAATAGATTTCTCCAAGATTTTGTTTATTCCATTTTTGTTTAAACGTTGTTTAAATTGTTCGTGAAAAATGTCAAACTCTCCAAGAAACAGCAATCGGCCATCAGTCTCAGTCTCTGACAGTCCGCCGACAGGCGATCCCAAACCTAATGCTGATAACGTGGCCGATGATGCACCGGCGACTTCTGATGACAATGCGGAGTGGAATACGGATGATGCTGGTGCTGCTGCCATATCACCAACGGGCGATCTGACGGAGAGTCCAAGTAGCTCCGATATTTCGTCCACCAAGCGGCGCCGGCTCGAGTACTTTCGCAATGGAATTGATGCCGATTGCGAGGTGCATGTGCCCAGGATGAGCGACGGTGTCAGTGAGGGTGGCAATGTCTGTTATAAGAAATTTAAATGTCATCGCATATTTTTGGCAACCGCTTCGGAGAAACTCGAGCAGGATGTTTTTCAAAATAAACAATGGAACGGGGTATTACAAATTAACGGCGTCTCACCGGAGAGTGTGGAAATTTTTTTGGAATTCATTTATACATTTGAGATAACAACATCGCAAATCAATCTGCTCATCATTGGAGATATATTCATTCTGTCCTGTGCATACAATTTGCCCGACTTTTTGCTCAAGTTCTCGCAGCAGCTCAAGAATATTAGCTGGCCATTGGAGGGCATATTTCCCGCCTTCAATTTGGCTTTTCGCCACAATATTTACGATCTGGAAAATGTCTGCCTAACAGTAAGGTTTTTTACAATTTGAAATTCAATTAAATATCTAAACTAATTGTTTAATACCGGGATATATGTATGCTTCCACGCCCTTGCAGAAAATTTTAGAAAATGCAGAAACTCTTAAATCCGAGCCGGGAATTATAGAATTGCAGACATACGCCTTCAACTTCGTCATCCAGCATTGGCTGGCCACAGAAGTATATATTCATTTAAAATGGCTGTGAAGTCAAATATTGTTTAATTTTTACTTTTTAACAGGCGCTGACCACAAACGAAATAATCCAAATACTGCAGCTATACCAGAAGGAAAACAATTTAACATTCAAGAACTCGCAACAATTTCCACATTTTATAAAGATTATCAAATACTTTCCGAGTGTGCTGCTAGACGCCGAAGGATTCATACATAAATATTAATTAAATTTGATCGCAATGGTTAACAAGTTCGATTGTTCGATTATTTACATTAACCGACGACCAGAGTATGCCTTAACATAGCTAGACCTTTTCACAGACGACTAAAATGTCTCTGTAGTTAAACTGCAAATTGAAAATGTATTTAACATTATCTTAAAAGATCGGCTTTTATGCAGCCCTGCTCTACTCAAATTTGTTATACTGACAATTAAAGCAAAAATATCTTGTGTTATCGATTTACCACAGCTCAGCGAACCATTAAAACTTGCTCCGGTCTGGTTACCTATTCCTTATTACGAAAGAAAGAAAAATTACGTTCGGCTAAAAGCTAAATATATTACTGCTCAGACGCTCATTCAAGAAACATAAGATTTATTTTTTAATATTGTTTTATGTTCAAATATTGATTATATAACTAAAAATTTTTTTTCCCTTAATATGTAGAGAATAAGTTCGATTTATCGAGTGAACCAAAAAAATAAATGAGGCACTTGCAACAAAATCGAGTTGCAACTATCGATATATTTAGCCATCCCTATGTAGACCTCAACTTGTGGTTTTTGTACAGCATTTTTCCGGGTGTTACAGTGTTACAGTGCTTAAAAAATATAAATAGCAAATTGCAAATAGTGTAAACAATTCTTAAAGCTAGTACACGTGCAATAAAAAAAATCTGGAAAAGTGTTGCTCGTTTGTTACAGCAATGAAAGGCAGTTAATGGTTCGCTACTTAGATTTTCGTTGCCGACGTCGGATCTCTTATACAGATATAGTAAACGGCGCAATCGCCAGAACTAAACTGCACTTCCCACTGTGCAGTAGACATCAAGTAATTGCAATTTTTTAAATGCTTCAAATGATAGTTGGCGTTAGGTGCGTTTAAATAGATATAATTTTTGTGTTTTTTGTGGCGCATGTTTTGTTTTCTTGTGCACTGTACACCACATCACTATGCTTGTGTTTTATATGTGTGTGTCTGTGTTAGTGACTTTGTACACATTTTAGGCGGTGTGGTGTGAGGCCCTCGCAGTGCGCTCGATAATTATCGCTGCCATTTGTTTATCGATAGACATTGGGGGTGAAATGCGCGCGAAACGACTATGGGGGCTAGCATACAAACATATATGTACATAAGTACATGCATACATAAAATACATTTAATTGAATCATGTATGAGTATATTGAAAAATTCATAAACCACTCTATTCGCTTGCAGTTAATGTTTCGGGTTCTGTCAGTTTAAAAGTTTGCACACGATTCATTCAGCAATTAATCAAACATGGAGGAAATATCCAGTCTTGACTCCTTCGGTGCTGATTCAAGCGCAAGGCCTGAATCAGAGACATCAAAATTGGACGACGATAACTCGAGGGAGAAAATGGAAACAACGGCAGCTTTGCAAGATACACCAGCATCTCCATCAGAAGAAGACGTACCTGCTGAAAGTGTCAACACAGACGCAAACATACCAGAAAAGCCAACTGCAGCGCCAGCAACAGGCGAAGATGACGATTTTGAACAGATATCAGAGGGCTCTTTGGACATGGATGAGGGCCAATCACGAGAGAAAGTTGATGCTGTCAGAAACGATGAACAAGATCCCACACCTAAAGACAGGGAAGAGCTGGAAGAAGTAGAACCCAGCGCAGCTGACGAAAACGCAGAGGATGCCGCGGAACCAGATACACAGCCAACAGTAGCTGACGAGGAACAGGAACATTGCAATATCGATGAAAGTGCTGATACAGATGCCATGCAACAACGCGACGCGTTTGAAAATGTGGAGGCCGATGATGAAGTCCCCGAAAGTGATACCGTCGATGGTGCTCCCGCCTCTATGGAAGCAATGGAAGTAGACGACGGTGGTGTTGATGCTGAAACTGCGCCCGCCAGCACGGCTGAAGAGACAGCTGGCGATGTTGATGACATTGAAATGCGCTCAGAAGGCGGCGATTCCCGACATGCAGCTGCTGAGGAAGACGACGCGGTTGACAAAAATATAGAAGAAACACCTTCCGAGGGCAAAGATGAGGTCGATAGATCAGATGAACAAGATCAAGATGCTTCTGGAGCCAATGAAAATGTATCGATACGTGGAGATGATAATGCCGATGCTGAAGCTGAGCAAATGGAAGATGCTCCCGAAGCCGAGCAGCAGGAAGAAGGTGCCGAAGCTGAGCAGTTGGAAGACGCAGGCGAATCAGAGCAGCTGGAAGAAGCTGCCGAAGCAGAGCATGGAGATGGTAATCGCTAAATAAATAGAAAAAAAATCAAAAGTTGCTAAATATTAATATTTTATTTTGCAGAAACCGTTGAGAATGTACTGGAGCCCGAGGAGTCGGATGTTTGTCTGATACCGGACGATCCCGAAACGGAAGTAACAGAAGCCGAAAAGGAATTAGCCCGCGAAAATGCAGAAAAGGCAGCTGAGGAGGAAGAAGCCGCCGAGCAAACGCAATCATCATTGAAATCACCCATCACTGAGGTAGGCGCCGCAATGGAAACACACAATGACAAAGACGATGCAGCGGCTGATGTAAATGAATCAGCGGACGACTTGTCGGGAACAGCAAATGGTAAGCAACATTGTCATGTAAAATTAATTGAATTGTTAAGCTAAGATATCCATGCTCTCTGTATGCTCTTATCTAATCCTCCATTTGAGCAGCAGAGGCTCAGGCTGATAAGCAAGCTGGAACCGAGGTTTCAGTATGTGCTGAAGGTGAGCTTGGGTGCATGTTGGGTGGGGCATTTAAAATTTTCACATCTGTACACTTTCTATAAAGTAGGGAGTACATAAGTAAGCTATACAAGGTTTAAATAAATCATATACATGGGCTATCTTTCTATGCGATTTCCAATGAGAAATAAAGGTGGAATATATACAGAGCTTTAAACACAAAATACGAGTAAGTAAAGAGAGTAAAGTTAGAGCAATTGATAGAGGCACAAATATAGAAAGTTTATAGTTTCCGTTAACTACAGACTTCCTAAAAGCACTATACATTTTTAAGTATTACTTGAAGTCATAAAAATCAGCTCTAAGGACTATAGCAATTCATAACTAAAGGAAGGGACCGTCATCTATTTGGCGAGACGCTCTGATTAAATTCACACTTATATACATACAAACATACGGAGATGTCTCCTTCTGTTGCATACAAATGGACATAAGTAATAAGTAATACCCATTAATCAAACTGTAATTTATTCAGCAAATGCAACTGCAAACGATGATGATACGCCCGAAGCGGATGCGCCTGAAGCGGATGAGCCCAGCCATGAGGAAACGTCCGGTGCCGTTGCAGGCGAGGCAGGTGGCACTGCCAAGGTAATCATATCCTGGATTGTGGGCAGTACACAAAAATGTCGGCAATGCGACACGGAAAAGAACTGCGGTTATCGCTTCAAACATAACGAAGCGGATGCTGATGAAAATGCCGACGAGCCAGCAGCATCTGGAGAAGTAGCAGCTGCCGGCACGTTTGAGTATCTATGCGATCAGGCATGCTGTGATGCATTTTTGGCTGCACAGCCGGGCCAATACTTTTTGCGGCGCAAGAAGTTCCTTGTCGAGGAGGTCAGTCAGGAGGGTAGCGGAGCGGCTGCCGTTGATGATGAGCCAAATGACAACGCGGAGGCAGCTGTTGATGGCGACGCAGAAGGCGCAAGTGCGACGGACAATACACACACCTGCCTGCAGTGCAAGGAGCAAATCAATTGCAAATACTTTCTGAGGCAAGATCTGGATACTTACTACATATGCAACGATGATTGCTTTAATCTCTTAAATGCCGAAGAGCCGGACAAATACAAACTGAAGCGTCATTCGATACGCGTGCGCAATATTGGCGCTACCACAATACGTTCGCCCAGCAAGAAACCCGAAGCGAATGTGGTGGCACGCACCAATGCGGAAGCGGAGGCAGCGCGTCTCGATCGAATGGAGAGCTTCAGACGACGTTGCGCCGATTGCCAGCAAGAAGTCAATGTGGGTGACAAGCAGCTCATCTGGGAGACGATGGACTTTTGCAACGAGGTGTGCCTGGGCAGCTACCAACGTGCATTTGGCGGTAATTGTGAGACTTGCAAACAGGAGGTCAGCTCCATAGCGCTGGGCAAGTACTGTGTGCGTTTTGGCTTTGAAGTGCGGCAGTTTTGTTGTGCTGCTTGCCTCAACACGTACAAGAAGGGCTTGAAGACGTGCAGCTGCTGTCAGAAGGACATTAGCAGCGGGCAGGAGGGTTTCCTAGCGCCCGTTGGCGACAAAGATCAGTTCAAGGACTTTTGCTCGCAAGTGTGTCTGCGCCGCTACGACAACATGTGCAATCCGAAGAAGAAACTGCGCACAGACATGTGCGGTGTTTGCAACAACGAAAAACCCGTACGTGTGGAAATGCTGCTGGAGGACAAGGAGCATTATTTCTGCTCGAATCCCTGCTTCTCAGCGTTCAAGTTTGTGAGCAACGTCAATGCCGATCCCTGCGCCATGTGCTGCAAGTACTTTGAGCGGAAGAGCGTCGATGCGTTCACCATCTACAGCAATGATCAGCAGACGCCAAAAATGTTTTGTTCGCGCATCTGCATCAATGTATATATCATTGTTAATCGTCATATTGTGTCCTGCCAGTGGTGCAAGGTGAAGAAGTATAATTTTGATATGATTTATAAGCAGCACGGCGATCAAGAGACGCTCACCTGTTCGATCAACTGCCTGACCATGCATGGCGTTAGCTGCAACATATCGGCACGCGCAGTTACCAAGTGCGACAATTGCAGCAACACAAGCACCCCGCAATACCATTTGACCATGTCGGATGCATCGATGCGCAATTTTTGTACATATCAGTGTGTAATGCAGTTCCAAAATCAGTTCGCCCGCACGCCGCTCACCTTAGACAGCGATCTGCCGTCGACGTCAGCCAACAAGACGCAACAGCAGCAACATTTGTCCGCCGCACAAGCCCGTGGCAGCAACAAAAATGCAGCACCATTTCCCACCGGATTACCCAAGAGAGTGAAACTGAAGTTGGCACAGCCGGTAAGTTTTTCTATCTCATAACTGTATATTTGAAAGTATCTATTAACGCACACTGAAAACGTTCAATCGATAGGTTGCAACTTGCGATAGTCTAATTTTAATATATGCCAGTGCTATAAAACAAACAAATAGGACATTCACTGTGCCAGACTGTTCTGTTCAATATATCGATGGTAATATGTAGCTGGCTATAGATATTTGAATTTAAAGTCGTGTGCAGAACTAAATATTTTTCTAATGGTGTCTGTACAACGTTAGGATAGTGTTTTTCAAGAAATATCATGTCGACGGCGAAGCCATTGGTCTGATCAGTTTGTTTGACCAATATGGCAACGCTGCTACTCGTGCAGTCCGCAGGTTCGCTTAAAACCGCTACGCGCTTTACCAATTCATAATCGAATTTAATACAATAACTAAAGATGCGTTCTAGGTGGAAAGTGAGTTCACAGAATCGGTTTATTCACGTTATACTAATATATTTGCTCAATCTCTTTGCAGTCCGGCCTAAAAAATAATGCGACTGGCGGCGCAAATAAAAAATTAACTGGCGGCACTGTTGTGCCCGTCATTTCGACCGTACAATCACTGGCCAGCGGCGAAACAGAGGCACGTATTGGCAGCGTAACCGTGCGACGCAAACGTGGTCGCAAACCGGACTCGCCGCCACCGTTGACGGTGAGCATTACGGCGCCCTCACCAACGGTTGGTGAAGTTCGTGCTCGCGGTCGCCCGCGCAAGCATGTGGACTATAGCGTTGCACGCTCTCCCTCGCCCACATTGAATTCGCAGCCGTTGCGGCGCAATACAGGAACGCCCGGTAGTGATTTTCCAGCGGCTATAACGGAAACAAAGATCATCACCGTGCCGCCATACCCGAAGGCGGTGCGCAATGTAAATATCAGCTGCAAGCCCATGACCGTTACAACGGGCGTACAGATAACTCCGTCCGTGCGGGATTGCGCCACCCAGACCGACAAGGATTATTCGAACAAGGTGCTGATACCAGTCCCGGTACCCATATTTGTGCCGCAACCGATGTACATGTATTCAGCGCCATTCCCGGTGCCTGTGCCCATTCCGCTGCCAATACCGGTGCCAATATTTATACCCACGACACGAAACACCGCAGCTGGCATTTTAAAGGAGATTAAGAAGATACAAGACAAAATGCCTGAAGATCCTTTGGAGGCCGAATTGCTGATGATGGCCGAAATGGTGGCCGAGGAGAAGCACGAATCGGATTCCGATTCGGACAATGAAATCAAACCAGATCCGGGTCTAGTCACCCTGCAGTATCAGAACAGTCTTGAGCAACAGCAGCAGCAACAACAACAGCAGCAACAACAAGTTGTGGATGTAAACGCCGCCAGCCATAATCCATACGGCGACGATATGCTTCAAATTGCCCTCAAAATGGCAACCGGAGATTATGATAATCATCATCAGACAACAACCGTTGATCTTGAGTCAACAATGACGGCCAACACGATATCGAGTCAGTCTCCGATGGGTCATGATATGGGCCAAATGGGCGTGCATCATCTGGATCAGCAACATCACATGCTGGAGACGACGCAACGGTGAGAATTTATATATATTTATTACAATTGAAAATAAATTCAAATTTTAATGAATGCTCTTTAGCTCTCCGCGTGGTCGTAAACGTGGCGGTGGCACAATCGCCGTGCTGGATTCTCCTGCGCGTAATAGTCGATCGCCTGTGAAACGTCAGCGCGGCAGCGAAATGGATCACTCCGCCCTGCAGCAACAGTCACAGCAGGCGCAGCAGCCGCAGGAGAAACCTGATGCGCAAATGTTCCTCAAGTACACGTTCGGCGTGAATGCCTGGAAGCAATGGGTGATGACCAAGAATGCGGACATCGAGAAGAGCTCAATGCGACGGCGACCCTTCAAAACAGAACTACTGCAAATGACCGCCGACGAGCTAAACTATTCACTCTGTCTGTTTGTCAAGGAGGTGCGCAAGCCCAACGGCACAGAATATGCGCCCGATACAATATATTATCTTGTACTGGGTAAGTGTACGCGCGTCATGCTACATTATCTTAGGCAGTATCTAATTCCTTTTTTGTCGCAGGCATTCAGCAATACCTTTATGTGAATGGGCGCATTGATAACATATTCTATGATCCGTACTATGAACGTTTTACGGAATGTCTCGATGAGGTGGCACGCAAGTTTTCCGTGCTCTACAATGATTCGCGTAAGTCTTAAAGCAGTCCTTCGATTTAATAATCTTAGCTTAATCAATTTATATTTCCATAGAATACATTGTCACGCGCGTGGAGGAGGAGCATTTGTGGGAGTGCAAACAGCTTGGCGCCCATTCGCCGCATGTGCTGCTCAGCACCCTCATGTTCTTCAATACCAAGCATTTTAATTTAACTGTAAGAATCTAATTGGAGTTTCCGCCGAACGTTTTATTTATTATTTCTACACCTCCTACAGACCGTTGAGGAACATATGCAATTATCCTTCTCGCACATTATGAAGCATTGGAAACGCTCATCGCAAAACTCGAAGGTGCCCGGCACACGCAATGTGCTCTTACGATTCTATCCACCGCAGGCGGGTCTGGGTAAGCAACGTTTAAAAATGTTGGTTATAAAATAGTCAAAGAATATTACTTATTCCACTAACTAGATGCTAATCCGCGCAAGAAAAAAGTATATGAACAGCAAGAGAACGAGGATAATCCACTGCGCTGTCCTGTGCGCCTATACGAATTCTATCTATCCAAATGGTAAGTCAAGTATATTTGTTTTTAGATTTTAACTAATTGTTAACTTTCAACAATAGCCCGGAGAGTGTTAAAACGCGCAATGATGTTTTCTATTTGCAACCGGAACGATCCTGTGTACCCGATTCTCCCGTTTGGTATTCAACGCAAGCACTTAGCCAAGATGCGCTGCAACGTATGTTGCATCGCGTTAAAATGGTCAAGGAAATCAACATAGCGCTATTAACAACTTAATATTTAGTTAGGCACACGCGGACACACATACAATTTGTCGTATGTGAAAGGCTCATTTTTCAATGACAATTATATATTATCAACTTTTGGTGCTTAGCACAAAATTGTTTGCGGGCAAAATCACCAAAAACAAATTCAGCTAAATTAAGAGATGAGCGCCTATTAACGACTCCAATCGCTTAAAAACCATAGTTGTGTTTCATAAGTAAGATTTTACATATACATCCACACACACATATATATGTATATATATATATATACAAATTAATTATTAATTGTTTTTACAAATTACATAAATGTGCTGCGTCGTGAGTAGCGCCAAGTTAGGATCTGTATAGACTATGAATTTAAATTTGAACTTCATCTCAACATCAATTAATCTTTTTCTAAAGCAAGTCAACAATCATTTAACAGTTCGGCAACTGATTATTTCGCATATTTTGTTTAGTTAGATACGTAAGACCACAGCAATGACGATTTCAGTTAAGTCATTTAATAAGATTGTTTAGAGTAAAACTGTTAGGGAGAGTGTGCTTAATTAAGCAAATGTAGTCCCTGAGACAGCGCTTAGATTTGAGTGCGCGAGTCGTTTATAGGCGCGCGTGCGTGGTATGTACATTGAATATATAATCTATAAACATTTAAACAAATACTATGCAGTTGCAATGTACATAGAGCATATACATAAACAATTAGCTATTGTCGCGCTGTTGTTTTAAGTGTTTTAATTGTAAAATGCTGTACTCCTTAATTAAAAAAATTAATTTTAAATATACGAGACATATACATATATTTTACAATCTATAAATTGTATATGATTTTTAAGAATTTTTGTAGATTTTATGATTTTGACTTGGTTGGATTTTATATAATAATATCCAATTTTATCAGGCAACGACAATGAAATCTTGGAACTGCCCAAACTAATGAATGCATTCAACTACTGTGTACATCTGTTCATTTGACACATTCATCAAAAAACAACTGAACAATCTAGGTGTATGTATCTTATGTATATATAAATACATTACATATATATATATTTTTTTAATGGTCCTTTTACAAATCTTCGTAATAGATTCTTTACAAAGTTTCATTTTATTGACAATAAGATGCAGAGTAGTGTAATTATAACATATATTACGATTACAATTTTTTAATTGAAACAACTCGATTTGACGCAAGCAATACAAAAAATAGTTGAAACTAATATTAGATACAATTTTATATGCCCGGCCAGGCAGCGTGTCCAAAGGATGTATCAGTTTGGCTGCCACCGTTGGACATCGTTTGGTCATGTTGTGTGTATGTGTGTGGATTGGGGGGTGCTAGTAACGTATTTAAAGGCGCACTGTGAGGCATTTCGTTTGTCTTTTATTTGTTTGTATTCTTTTTATTTCTTATCTGATGGATCTTCACACTATGCTTGTTTTCTTGTTGCCGTTTCACGTCGATTACCATTCCGCATCGCCGTTGGATTTTTGAAACACATAATCCTTGCCGCGCATATTCATAATGCCATCCTTGAGATAGAATTTCCATTTGTTGCGCGAGCGTGTGATCTATAGAAATAATCATGAGGGATTAATATATATGTTCCTTAGTCGTTATATAAGTATACGCCCTTACTTTATCGTACTGGCAAACAATAACGTTATCTGTGTCAAAAACTTCAGCAGAGTCCTCGTCGGTGACATCATCCTCGCTATTTAGCGGCTCCTCCTCGGCGGCATCCTCGTGCTCAGCATCATCATCATCATCTTTGTCCAGATCATCATCGTCATCATTGTCTACATTATCATCGCTCTCCTCGCTCTCATCCTCCTCTGATGAATCTAAAGCGCCGTCTAACTGTTTGGCAAGGGCCAAATTTTCTGGTGAATATATAATTATGGTTATAAGGATTGTTCAAGGAGATTTTGTTGAACTGCCTTACTTTGATGATTGGCATTGCTAAGCGCTGCATTCACGTGCTGCTGCAGCACGGAGGAGGCTAACGTGGTGGGCAATGACATAATTGATGAAATCAGATGAGCGGTTAGTATTTGGGTCAACTGATTCTCCTGCAGTGCCGATGCGGGCACTTGTATGGTGAGAACACGAGATTCCGAGTTTGTTGATCCCGGTGGCGAAGGTAACGTTATCTGCAAAGATTTTGAATGACATCAGTTCGGCTTATAACTTTTTGAAATGCATACATTAACAGGCATAATGCGATTGGGATCCAATTGTGCGACAATTGGTATTGGCGTTTGGCCACCGGATGTGGCACCAGCGGCCGCTGCCTGTTGCTTTTGCATCATTGTCGCACCGCTTGTGGGATGCAGCGGCGGTGGATTCTGTGATGTGACCTCCTGTTTAATGGCACCTATGCCATTCTTCATGCCGCCGCCAGCTGCGGCGCCAATGGCTGTTGATTTGCCGGCAATCGATGGCGATGCCAGCTTATTGCTGTCTGCGCTGCTGCTGATGCCGCCGGTGGCGCCGCTGTTGTTCTGTTGTGAAGCAGCTGCAGCGGCGGCGGCTTTTTTGGCCTTGGCATTGGCAGCCTGCGAATTAGGAAAGTAATTAGTCAAAAGGGACACTGATAGCAATTACTAAATACTGCATTACCTTGGAGCTCTGCAGATGTAGAATGTAGATGTGTGTGTGTGTGTGTTGTGGGTGTACATGTTTTATGGTGATAGCAGTTACAAATACATTAAGCAGCAATCGGTGTTGGTATTTAATATTGATGCGCGCGATCAATTGTTGTTGCAATTGAAGATCGAGACAGACAAAGAGAGAGAGAGAGAGAAAAGCAACAGAGTAATGTTTAATTTGTTATTGTACACTATTAAAGCAAAACTATAGGCATAGCTCTACATATACACACACTATATATACATATATCTATGGAAATATATGGACAAACGCGCTGCACACCAATCAATGGCCACGGGGCAAGGATAACACTCCTTGCTTACCTTTGGATTGTTGGCCACAATGGGCGGTGGGTGGTGGCCTGGCTCGCCGGGTTCGGGATTCAATTCGACCGCCTTACTTGCTAATAGCTTATTGCGCCATATCTGTTTCATTTCCTGCAGCACCTGCTCATCAACGCCCTCATCCAGAAAGGCGTCGCGCACATTCGAGATAACATCCTCGATGACGGCATGATAGACTTTCAGCTGTGAAAAATGGGTCAAAACAATTTCGTCAATTACAATTGCGCACAATTTGATATACAAAACAATTATTTGATTTACTTTTAAAGATTAGTGTCACGGCAATTCGCCAGACAACCTCAACCTGTAGAAACTCCATGAACAACTTGTATAAATACATTTTTATTCTTTTACCATAAAAGAAATGCATCACATACCCTTTTTCTAGGGTATTCTATGTATATAACTCAAAAAGTACTATCCATATATAAAGAATAAATGTGTACCTATATTTAACTGTTTTATTTTCAAGTCCTGTGTTTACTGTCTAATATTGAAATTATGAAAATGGGGCAAGAAACTCAAATATTACTCACAATGCAACTTGTATTTGAGCGTGTCTGTGTCTGTGTGTGTGTGTGTGTTTGCATGTAAATACATATGCATTATAATTCAAGTGCTATTTTTGATTGCAAGCATGCCCGCAGCTACATTCTTTCACACGTTCAATGTACAAATCTGCGTACATACATATATACAGATATATGCCAACACGTAAGTGTCGTTACTATCAATGTTAAGATAAGTCGATGGTGATTATAAACCAAACTGTAACTATATATATATAAACTATTTTAAATTCTTGCGTTACGTCGGAAACATATGATTAGATGCACACACACACACACACACGCACGCTTGAAGCTATGCGAATCCTTCTGCACGCTGCACAAGCATAAAGTGCGCACACACACACACACACACGCACACATAAGGCAGCAGACATGCCGCCGCCGTCGCTGCCGCTACAGGCTTAAGGCAACTCATGCGTTTCGTTTGGTGGGGAAAAACTTTCACTTTAGAGGGCCGCAATTTTCTTCGTCCATATGTCACAGCTTTTTAATTATTTAACATCAGAAAGCCATGAATAATTGACTTAGTGCCGGATGCTCTATGGCCCATCTCGTAGTGTATATATTGTGTTTTTTGAGGGCATAGCTTTGTTGTAGATTATATATGTACATATGCAGCATATTGTATCATATGCTTGTGTCTTACCACTGATGTTTGGCATAATGCCATCTGTACTTTTTTCTCCGCCAGTTTGAGACCTTTCTGTTGTTACTGTTTACCAAATTGAACACTGTGATGGACGTAAAACCTTTATAAATCACAATTAAGAAAAAATGCGTCTCGTCTGACACACACAGATGTGACGACGATACGAAGCAAAAACACGACCTAAAAGTGTGCCCGTATCGCACGTTGCGCTAAACACCAAGCCTTGCGTTGCCAGACTGTTACGCCGTGACATTAACAGCCGACACTAACATTAAAAATTATATTGACACAGTATTCAGTAAACAGACATATATTCAGTTATTTTAGAGACGAAGTTAACATATTTACATCACGCAAAATCTACAAAAAATATATCTAATCAAATTCATCACAGTTCTGACGCTCGCTATTGAATTCAAGCTCATCATCCTCGTCGTCGTCGTCGTCTTTGTCTTCATTCGCGCCAGGCTTATAGTCCAAATCAGAGTCGTCGTTAAATGGATCCTCCTCCTCGTCTGATTCAAAATCAGAGTATTCGTCTGCCCGCGCATTGGAATTTTGCGTCTGGGCGCGACGCTGGCGTAAGCGATTGCGTATGTTCTGGGCGGAATTGACTAAGTTGCCCTTTAGGTGCCGTTCGGCGCATCTATTGCATCTTACTTACAATCTGAAGGATGGGAAAACTGTTGAAAGTGTACTGGGTTACGACGGTAGCAGGAGTTGCCAAATTGACAGGCTGGTGTGCCCAGAGGTGGGGTTGGATAACTGGGACGACGATAATCCGAATCGCCAGGATGTGCCTCTGTATTCCGGTGAGCCGGATTGCGTCTAAACGATTTAAATGTTTTAAATTTGTTTATAATGGCCGCAAAACAGATTTGAGCGTAATTTACCTATAGCATCGTATGCCGAAACGACAGGATGGTCGTAAAGTACTGGACGAGACCGAGCTATCAACAGTCGCGCACTGGCTGCTATTGGTTGGTTCTGTCTTGACAACAGTGGAACTGCTGGCTGCCTCCGTTACTGCAACTGCATCGCCATTGGCGGCCTCCGTTTTAATTGAAATAGCTGGTGGTACATTTGAGCTAGTGCTAGCCGCAGGGACGCCACTGTCTTCATGCTCCTCCGCTGGTTCGGTTTTTATCGCCACTAGTATGCTATTACTGCTGGGCTCTATTTCGTCTGTAGCTTCGGCATCTGCTGTTTCAATTTTCACCGTATTATTGTCGCTAGATTCTTTACCTTGACTATCCGCAGATTTCCTGCGTTTATTTATTTCACTGCTATCAATGATTGCTTCCTTCTCGTCGCATAGCTTTCGTTTAGAGGGTTTTGCAGTCTCAGCATCAGTTAGTAATTCATTCTCCTGGCCACTGATTTCCTCTGAGTGCTCTTGGGAGCTCATTTCGGATAATATAGAACAGACGGACGTTCTTAATTAAATCCAAATAAAAGTGAGTCGTATTTCACAACGTTATGGACGCGATCTTAAGAGTTATCGATTTTGCCGTGAAAGTTATAGCCGATATTTCGATAGTCGCGTCTACCATCGTGACGAGTCAAGCCGCAATATTTCAAAACATTTGTTGTGAACACATTTTAAGTATTCTCACAATCAAACATCAGCACAAATCCTACAAACTTCTGTCCTTAAGCCATGTGAATTTGTGCACTATATTTTTTACAAAATATGGTACGATTTTTGTACATATGCTGGCACAAAATGTTCTTTAAAACATGGATAGGAAAACTTTATTATTAAACCGTCGATCAAATAATTCTTTGTACTTAAGGCTGATTGTGAGATTTATTTGAATTATTTCATATCGAATTGGAAAGTAATCCGTGTCAGTTGCAATTGTTTGATCTGTCTAATGCAGCAGCTTCTAGAAGAACCTGCATAATCTTGTCCTTGGTTAGTTCCGATGTTTTGACCGATAATTGCCTCAGTCGATCAGCAACAAAGTCACCAAATATTTGTGGTGAATCCTTAAGGTTCTTGACGGCAACGGTAACAGCATTGGTGATGCTCTCTTCGTCTATGTTTACTGTGGGTACAGGATGTTCGATTTGATCGTCCGACTGTGTGGTCGACCCATTGGAGAACATTATCTGTTCCGGTTCGTATAACGCCAGACTTTCAATAATGGCCTCATAATCGGGTCCATTGCTGCCTCTCTTTTCCGTTTTAACTGGTGCCAATTTCATATTGTTTTTGTTATCATCAGCGTGGCTTCTATAGCGTTTGGCTGCTGTCGCTTTGCTGGTCCTATAGTCTGTGTTGTGGTCCATAGATGCAGAGTCGTCATTGCTCTGTAGTTTGAAAAATTGCGAAATTGGTCGTAGATCGAACTATTTCATCTAAACTATGCTTACCGAGTCATTTCTTTTGGTTTCAACTGCGGCATTCATTTTTTGGTGCTTCTTTGTGAGCGCATGAGCGCGCAAGTCACATATTTTTGTGTTTACCCCACACTTGCAAAAACGACAACGCGCTCTGTATGAGTCCTCGGGATCTCGTCGTAACCATGGCCTGAACTCTGGCATTTGCAGCCAGACTTCTCGCAGTTTCTGCTTATATCTCTTCATATTTTATAAACAAAATGCACAAGATAACAAGTAGAATAGAGATGGCAATAACAAGCCGCTTAGTAAACTTCGATAAGAGATATATGATAGTCTACTTAAGTATTACCCTACACTGGCAGCCATTTTACCAAATATCGTTGCTGCGAATTTTAACAGATGCACAACAGAGGCAATACTGTAGAATAACATACCGCAAGTGCACAACTATTTTACATCTTGCAACACTAAACGCATACAACACGTGAAGTTTTAGTAAATCAAAATGAAATCGCCGAAAAATAAATTAAAGAGCAACGATGACTTAAAAGTTGAAAAAAAGTCAGACGATGTTGCAGAGAAAAGCAAAACGATTAAAAAGGCACCAAAATCAAAGAAGGCGAAAGTGACCAAAAACGCTACAAAGAGCGCCGTCGTGGAGGAGGCGAGGAGCCCCAAGAATCTATCTGTAGCTGATTTAGCCAAGATCGAGAAGAAAAAAGCCAAAAAACAGGCACAGAAACTCAAAAAACAGCAGCGAAAATTGACTACAGAAACAGTAGAAAAGGAGTCCAAGGTGGGGTCCAAAGCAGAGGAAATAACATTGGCTGAACCAAACAAAAAGAAGAAGAGTTTACCAGAAGCAAAACCAACCACAAAACAGGGCAAGAAACAGAAAGGAAAAGCAGTCAAAAAAGGAAATGACAAGGATCCAGGTAAGGATTAAGTTTCCTTGCAATCATCAACTCTCACACAACTTTATTTTTATAGAAGCTCTGAAACGAGAACGAGATCCTGCCACCGAAGCAGCGACCATATTTGTCGGCAATCTGCCCATCAATACGAAGCGTGTCCAGCTTGTGCGTCTGCTTCAACCTTTTGGCACCGTGCACTCAATCCGTCTGCGTACGGCGGGTGGCAAGCAACTGTTTAAGCACAAACAGCGCAAGGGAGCGGGCTCCTTGAACGCCTACGTGGTACTGGATAGTGCTGCAATAGCTGAGAAAGCGCTGGCGCTAAATGGCACGGAATTCAAGGAGAATCACTTGCGTGTTACACCAGCAGCGCAGGTTAGAGGTGCTGTGGGAGCTGATGGCAATGGTCAAGCGTCCAGCGATGCCGACGTCAAGCGCACAGTATTTGTGGGCAATCTTAAATATAGTAAGTAATCGAGTCTATGACATTGTTTTGTTTCCGGTTTTAACATTCCATTTGTTGCAGCGGCCAGTGAGCAGAAGCTGCGTGAGATCTTCTCCAGCTGTGGCGAAATCGACTACATACGTTGCCTGCAGGACGGCGACAAGGGCTGCAAGGGTGTGGCATATGTTTGCTTCCAGAAGCCAGATGCGGTCGGGCTTGCACTAGAGCTAAATGAGACTTTGCTCGACGATAGACCCATACACGTTGAACGCTACTCGGTGAAAAAACTGGGTGCTAAGCAGGCACGCGACTCTGCGGCTGCTGCATCGACAGGTCCACAAGCAAAATCGAAAAATAAGGCGAATGCGACGGGTGCAAAGAAGCGCATAGACAAGCGGCAAAAGAAAGAAAATGGAAAACCCAACGAGCCCACCAAATCTGCAGCTGGCAAAAAGAAATCTGAATACCGAGGAGTCAAAGTCGATGCCATCAAAAAGAACAAGAAACCAAAAAAGAAAACAAATAATCAAATGAATGCACTGGCCAAGAAAATTGCGCCAAACGCTAGCAATTAACTTGAATTAATATTTTAAGAGCCCAACAATTGACTTCAATTAATATTTTAGGCACTTATGTAAATATTTAACAAACACCGCAGAAAAGTGTGTTGTTTCCGAATTTCTTTTATTGCAAGTGGTTAATAAAAAAGTCCTTTTAACGAGTAATTGATATTCTGCTTATAATGTTTAAAGAAAAAGCTGGCTACACATAATATAGCCGGCAGAAATTCGAAGCTTTTGATAGAAACGACTTTCATCGCGTTCAAATCAAACGCACTTGATATTCTCTTCCGCCGATATTTTTGTTTAATGTTTGTAATCGATAAGTATCGATATCCGATAAGCATCGTATTAGCAGGTATATTTCGGCAACTACATATATGAGGCAAAAGGTGGAATCAAGGGAACGAAGTACAGCTTAAACCTCTCAATTTACGATGTATGTATTTTTATTTGTTTATTGAGAAATAATTACAAATCTAGTAGCCATGACAACTAGCTTGTCATCGGGCAAGATTTTTATAGATTCAGTCAGCTGTTCTAGCTATTATAACACACAAATTTCGAGTATTCGGCGTTTTTTACATTTGTGTATTTTGAATAAAAAAATTCAGGTAAGCAAAACTTATGCAATACTGATAGACACTCCAAGTGGACCACCGCACATACCAAAACCTTTACCCGCAGGATGAATGTGTGTAAAAATTTCAAGTTTCTACGCATTGCACGCAACTGCATACGCAACTATGCTGGAAGGATACCAGCGCCCAGATCTACAAACAATGCATTCACATTAGAGCCTCTCCGTCAGCGGGAATTGATACGTGTGCATGGCGCCGAGGTGGTGCCATTTCTCCAGGGCCTCGTGACGAACGATGTGTCCCGCTTGCAAGAGGCCAACGGGCCCTCATCGATGTACGCATTGTTTCTGAACCGAGGCGGTCGTTTAATGTACGATACAATCATCTATCGCACCAATGATCCGGACACCTTTTTGCTGGAATGTGATCGAGATGCGTCCTCGGATTTTCGTCGCCATTTGCGCATGTATCGCGTACGCAAACGCATCGACATTGACACCGTAGACGATGAGTATGTGCCCTGGGTGATCTTTAATGAGAGTGGACGGGGCGATATACGTACACACAAGGCTATGGATTTGTTTATTGCACCGGATCCGCGTGTCGGGAGTATGGGCACTCGTGTCCTGGCGCCTGCCGATTTGAATTCCACAAAGCTGTCCAAGGACTTATGGCGCAATCATGATGTGGTCGCCATTAATCCCACACCCGATAGCAACTATAAGCTGCTGCGCTATAAGCAGGGTATTGGTGAGGGTATTGAGGAGCTGCCGCCAGGCAAATGCTTTCCGCTTGAGGCCAACGCCGATTATCTCAATGGAGTTAGCTTCAACAAGGGCTGCTATGTGGGCCAGGAGCTAACAGCACGGGTTCATCACTCTGGTGTCATACGTAAACGTTATATGCCCATACGCTTTACAGCGCCTGTTAGCTCCAATCAAACTGTAAAATCTGTTGCTGGCGCAAATCTTGGGCGCGTTTTTGGACATGCCCATAACCATGGCGTGGCTTTATTGCGCATTGAACCCGTGCTCCATGGTGACCAGCAACTAGTGCTCGATGGCGAACGCTGCTTTGTGGATCGTCCGCATTGGTGGCCCAAGGATATGACCGCCAAACGTGGTCTTGCTGCTATGGAATGACCTATTGAAACTTGAAAGTTTTTAATGTTAGATGTATTAATTGTATATATTCCTAGGCTATCTAATTACTAAAGTTACGTCTCGTACAGTTGGCCAAGCTCTCCTTTTTGTATTTATTCTTGCAGTGGTCGCCATGACTGACGATTCGCTCAATCACAGCTTCAACGTCGCCGCCGCAGCCGCCGCCGATGATGACGATGACGATTTGAATCTTGACAACGAGGCGGCAGAGATTAGGCGATTGCAGCTGCCGACCTCAACGGAGCCTCTGGTACAGGATGATGATGAGCGTGTGGCAAACATCGAGTTCAATTGCAGCGCTTGTGATATGCACGAGATGGTGCACTTCTATGGTCGGGCGCCGCCCTTTGCCCTGGGAGTTAAATTTCGTGAGGATAGCTATGTGTTACGCGATCCATTCCAGGCACCTCCGCCACGCTGGCAATCCAAGCCAGAGTTTTATGTGTCGTTGGGCGCTAAGTGCGCTATCTGCGGCCAAGTTGTGTGCAAGGATACGTCGTGCAGTTTCTATTATACACAGACCTATTGCATGCCTTGTGCCAGGGCCGAACTTAAGTCTTGGCCCGTTGAGGCGCAAAGTCGGCTACGCAAGCAATTGGCGGCCAAAAAATAGTAGCACTGAGACTGAGTCGTATATACACATAGTTTTTAAATATATACATTACGTTACATCGATGTGCCATTTCTTGTATATTTTTGGATAAAACAGGACTATGTGGGGTTTGATATTTCCAACTGTTATTTAGCGCAGAAAAGAGCATGTTAACCAACTGTTGACGCATGCGTGTCTTCTGTTAATTATGAATCGGTTGCCACAAAAAAGAGCATGTTAAGCAACTGTTGACGCATATATCTGTCTCTACGATTAAATACATGCAATATATAACATATCGATAGTTCGATTACTTTTCTTCGACAAACAACATTATCTGCTCATTCATTCAATTCGGAAGAGAGCGTCGACCAAGTAGGACGCTAAAATCGCGATTGTGTACTGTTGTGTCTACCCCCGTATTTATTGTTTTTGTGTTTGATTATTTTGTTGAATGAAAATGTTTAAATAAGTGTAATGTAAAGACTTAAGTTGTTTTTATATTAATCAAATAACAAATGCTTTATCAAACGCAGCGTCTTTTAAAGCAGTTCATGAGAATTTGACATTTACGCGATGTTGCTGTAACAACAACAAAAGCGACTGCAGGCAGAAATTGTGGCACTGCAGCGGCGAGTTGGCGTTTCGGCAGTTTGTGGACCTAATTCGCGGACGCGGACGCACCCACCCAAGTCCAAAACCAAAGCCCCAATTCCAATTTGCTGTGTAACTAGGCGCGAGTGTGTGTGTGTGTGTTTGTGTTGAATGTGTGTGCGCGGGCGAGGCAGGGACAGGAGCATGGGCTGCCCAGCCGGTTTCGGTGCGCGAGTTAATTGACAAAAAAAAATAAGCAAAAAACAACAAACAAAATAATACAGAGAAAGAAGCATAAAGCGCATGAGCAAATAACGGCTAATAAAGCATGCAACAAAAACAACAATTGAGAAACACTGTAAACAAATGCTTAAATGTTTGTGCATGTACCACACATACACACATATATTTATGCATGCTCCTTGTGTGTGTGCAGGTTTTCAAGTAAAGCAATCCAACAACAGCAACAATCCTCACCATGCATACCAGGTATTGAGTGAGAGGTTCTAGCACATAGTTCTATAATTAGCTCGGAGCTAGCTCAGAGAATTAATTCCCACATATACGCTTCAACACGCCCAACCCGTCCCGCCCACACATTGCGAGCGCCATGCTACGGTCGGATCTGCTTCATTTGACCATTCTTGCGTATTGCTGCTGCTGCTGGCTGTTAGTCAATGCGCACAACTGTCAGCATCAACATCCCAAAGCACACGAGGTGAGTACAAGAACCCCCCACACCCGCCCAATCAAAGCTTTATTCGCCTCAAAATCCCTAATCTGTTTGCTTTTCCATTCTTCCCCTTGGGTGCTCGTGTGTGTGTGTGTACATGCATGCGTGCGGTCTTTCCACCTCATAAGAACGGCTCTCTCAAGACTTCATAAAACTCTTAATTGCTTTCATGTACAGCTTAATTAGGGGTTTAGGTGAAGCTTTAAATACCGCTGCTGCTCCATATACAACATTTATTCTCGCAAGGGAAAAAATTTTAATTTGCTTTATATTCAATTTTAAGTGTTGGCTGATGCAAACGCCTTTTTTTTGAGCAACTGGCAACACTTAAGTTATTTATTGCTTATCGATGGGATATTTGGATATTTCCCTACAAAATTGTTTGGCAAACTATCATGCAAGAAGAAAAATAGACCATAATTTAAAGATAATATAATTGTACTACAAAATAATGGGATTATAATGTGGGCTGTGCGTTTACAATTGCTTCTTAGAAAAAAAAACGTCTAATAAATCCCAAAAATTATACAAAAACGTTGATTAGTTTTACCACTACAAACTAGCCGGGGGCTCGAACCGGGAGTATGGTTAATTAGTTGCCCGAAGTGCTGGGTCACTTACACAGCTTCACAACCAACACTGCCCTTAAAAACGCTTTTGCAACACTTTGAAATATGTGCATATATTTGGAACTAGTTCTGAACCGAGCTGAAGCCGATATCTCTGTGAAATGATTAAAATATTTATTGAATGCGTTAGTTTCTTGCATTTGCTGCTGAAATATGATTTATACTTTAGTGACTTACACGTTTGGGGCGCAGCAGAGACCATAGTTCTCACACACAGCTCCGCGTGATGCTTTTGGCAATGCATTGACAAATCCATTGGGTAATCATATACAAATTATAATTGAATGCAGCCACATGCGAAGCTAACGGCCCAGCGACTTGGCGGTTGCCAAACGCCCACGGCTCGAACCAGGCGCGAGGCTCCAACCGGCTGTGACCCGGTTTAATGTCTGGGACTGTCCGACACCTGTCGTTCTTAACTGCAATCGACTTTAGTTTAATTGGCGCTCCGTCACAAAAAAAAAGGTCACCGGCAATTGTGGAAAAACGGATCATTTACATAATTATTGTAGAGCTGAAGCTGGTTGTGCCCGATTCAAGTACTGAGAATCGAATTGAAACCTTTGAATATATCTGCATTACATTTCAGTAAAAGTCAGCAATAAGCGAGTGGGAAAACCCCTCAAAAGCGCTGCGTGTTCTTAACGTATTAATACCCTGCAAATGTGAAGTACACGGATGTAAAGATGGTAAATGTTGTAATGTTGTAAAGGTTGTCTGTATTGCTATGCTGCGATTATTCCATCTCTATCAACTGTTATACAAACATCTTACCAATCTTTCCATGTTTAAACTTTTTGAGAATTGTAACGAAAACATTAAAGCAAGCTAGCGCAAAGTTCATTTTCTGTTTCCATTAAAGTTTAATAGTTGATATCTCGAAATTCATCATCAAAAAATATATATTAATGATGTAAAATGCGAACGAACATTTTTGTTCTATTGTCCAGCATAGCTTGTGGCAGGGTATCTGCTGGCCGCCCACACTGTTGAGGTTAATACGCATACAATTATTTTAATTAATTGTAACTTGAAACGTTTCAAATGCAAGCATTCCGGCAAATGCCCCGCCACAATTGCCGCCCGCCCGGATCCTGATTGCTCGGATTTATGCGAGTATGTAAATGCTGCAATAAATGCGGGTACTCCGGACAACCAAGAGCTGGAACCCCGACACCTCCAGCCAGCCATCCCATTCAAAGCCGCAACGTTGCCTTGCCCAGTGCTCAGTTTTAATTACGCTTAAATAAATTTAAACAGGCTGACGTAGCAAATTGAATCATTTGTCACGTCTCTCAATAAATACAACGATTCCAACCATGATGATGCCAGTTTAGCTGGCAGTATTTCATAAGTCGGGTAGAATAACCCAAGACAATGAATTGAAATTGAACAATACGAAGCTCATTTTATTGGAAATCTTAATAGTTCTAGTAATTGACAGCACGACCTCCTTGCTAGTTCAATAATTATACAAATTTTTAAAAGTAACAAAGAAATAAGGTGTTTTTTTTTTTTTTATAAGTGAAACCTGACTTAAATGAGGGGATTTTCAGACAAGTTTTTTTTTTGTTTTTTAATTAGGTTAGGATGATATGTAACTGATGAATTCCCTTGACTCTTTTCGATTTTTTCAATATTTTCATTTTTAAAAACTCGTAAGAGTGCATTCCATTTAAACTGTTATCATAATAAGTATGCAAAATAAACTGTTTTATTGTAAGACAAGAGTAAGAGAGTATGTTTAGCATCAAAAATTGTCCAAATATCTAAGCCTTTGAACCTTATGTATAAACACATCCGGAATGTTGCACCTTTTGGAAACCTCCTCTGGTCCTGTAATAAAAACATATTCCTAAACGTATTCCACATATAAACTTTAAAATTTCATAAAGATCGGACAATAAAAACCGAAATCAATTGACAAAGAAAGAAGAAGCACAGAATCCGAATTGCTTGCAGCAGCAGCTTGGTTTGGTGCAGGGTATCTGCTAGTTGAGCACTCCCGACAAGAGCACTCCCATCTTTAAATGGACTCGTCGTCTGATCTAAAAATACATTTGTCAAAAGTTGTAATCTTGTTAAAGCATTCTATATATTATCCGGCCCAATTATTTATTTTTGTTACTTTTTTTTGTTTGTTATTATTTATGACTCTGTATTTGAGTTAAGGCCCAGATACATAACCTCAACAATTGAGCAATGTCAACGAAACTAAGTTAAAGGGCGTTTCTGCTCCGTTCCAAGTTGGTAAAGAAGACCCGTAGAGGTTATTGAAACAGCCAACTTTGACCTCGAGTCGTCTGCATAGATTTCTGTTTGTGCTTATTGCATTTGTTTGCCATTATAATTGGCTGTAGGTTGCATATTTGCAAACGCACACACACAAACACAGCCTTTCTCACACACAAACACACACATTTGTACATCCGTCCTTGTGAATTGTGTCTCGTTTTGAGACTAGAAAGTGAGAGACATTTATAATTGTAACTGTAAGTGCAAAAATTGCTTTTGAATTTTTTAATTAAGATGTGCTTGCATAAACAATTTTTATACTCTACAGAGTGTATAATAAATTTGTCATAAACTGTGTATCGCACAAAGGGAAATAACTTTTAAATGGATAAAACATAAATATTATAAATTATACTAATTAAACTCAATAGAACTTGGGTTATATCCTGCAGTACATATGTGTTAATCGTTCTATATCATAGCAATTGCCTGCTTGACTCTGTTTCACTTAATTGTATTTTTTAGTTAAATATATATTCACTTCTTTGAACAACGACAAGCTTCAGTTGAATAATTTGTTATACAGTACATATCTGATATATACTTGAAAGAGTATTTAATAGTCGGCGCAGTCAACTGTTCCTTCTTGTTATACGCAGTATACAGTGCACTACAGAGTAGCTAAGCACATTGAAGGCGTTGTGTAAACAATCGGGCAAATAAACAAGTGCAAAAGATAAAATCGCGCAACTTATCTCCAGCTGATGCTGTCTGTGTGTGTATGTGTGTGCGTGTGTGCGTGCGTGTGCCGGTTGGCAGAGAAACAAGTTTGTTGAAAGCCAACGATCAGTTAGTCAGTTAGTTGATTATGCTACATGGCTCGAGGCTAATTTTGAAACACACGCCAGGCCAATATTATGAATTAAATAAAACGCAACAAGTTGCCGTAATGACAACTGTAAGACGATGTTTGTGGGTCAGTCCAGGCTAGTGCAGTATTTCAAGTAGGTGGCAACCTTGAAAAAATGTCGCCTGTTCGTTTTGAGTGCAACAACAACTCTCTTACAGGCTGCAGCATTGCAAAATGAATTTCTGAGCATATTCAATGAGCGTAAAATTGAATTTGAGTTTGTTCTCAAATAACGTTCAGCTGCTGCCTGCTGCCTACTGCAATGTACCGTTGTGCGTTGCTGGGCGCCTTGTGTGTACGTGCTGGAGGGAGGACGACAAATTCAATAATCTACAGTTGGAGCGAGTCGGCCGATTTCATTCAATTTACGTCAGTTAGCGACTCAAATTGAAAATAATTCACTGTAAAGATTGCCACTAGTAGAATGATGCGTTAAATTTGCGTAGTCCGGCAACTATTTGATATTTGCGTGCGTCTGTGTGTGGATGTGGTTAGTTTATTAATGTGCTTTTGTGTGGTATTCATGATTTTAATTAAGTAACATGTTCGTTGCGGTCACAATGTGAGGTAACAAATAAATTGAGCGCGAGAGAAGCAAATAAACCATAAACTAGCGCTGCATGCAAAGTAGCTGCTGCTCAATAATGCATACACACATACGACGCACAAACATACGTGTGTACATATTGAGTATGTAAAGGAAACAACGCTAGCCGCCAGGGCTACAGCTGAGCTTGAGCGCCCACAGAGCGAAAGTGAAAGCACAAATACTCACTCACTGCTTCACTCACTCGCAGGCAGGCAGTCAAGCTTGAAAGCTTCGATTGATCTGGCCGGCGCGAGCATTGAACGCAGGTGACAGACGGCAGTGAAAAACTGCGGAAGATCGCCAAAGTGTTGACAAAAGGCAAGACGGCGGGGGTGAGAGTAAGAGAGAGGTAGGCAAAAAAATGTCGTCATGGCTTAGTGAACGAATGACAGATTGTCTGCCCGAGGCACGTAAATAATTACTCAACATAACGCCCGCTCGCGTCTCTCTGCCCCCTCCTTACGGCTGATCGATTCACTTGCTCAAATTAGCATGCGCAACTGTTAAATGCCCGGCGCCCGGCGCATGCGTGCAGCGGATCGTGTTTGCTATTTATGGGTGTTTTCTGTTATCGTTGTTATTGTTGTTTGACTAAAAAAGCAAATACTGGAGGCAGCCAGGC